CTATTGGTCATGAACAATCATCATACCATGCTTGAAGTTCCTAGACCTAAGCGTTCTTTAGTTATTGATCGGAAACCGTTTTACCTACAATGTCAATGTGACCTTGACCTTTGACCCCTTGACCCCAAAATCAGTAGGGTTCATCTGCTGGTCATGAACAATCATCATATCAAGTTTGAAGTTCCTAGGCCTAAGCATTCTTTAGTTATTGATTGGAAACCGTTTTTACCTACAAGGTCAATGTGACCTTGACCTTTGACCCCTTGAACACAAAATCAATAGGGGTCATCTACTAGTCATGACCAATCATCGTACCAAGTTTGAAGTTCCTAGACCTAAGCGTTCTTTAGTTATTGATCGGAAACCATTTGGTCTACAGACCAACTGACAGACAGACAAATGCAAAGCAATATACCCTTCTTTGAAGTGGGGGCATAAATATTGAATTCCTATAAATTGACAATGAGCAGTTTTATACTTGAACAAAAATTTCAAATCTGGTGAAATACAATATAATACACAATATCAAAAATTATCATATTTTGTTCTGTTTGAAAAGAATCAGCTGTAGATTTAGACTACAGTATAAAAAAATTGGCCGCAAATTACATTAATATCCGCCATTTCAAACAGTAAATAATCGGAAAACTGCCAGTGGATTGTTGAAACATTAATTTTATTCAATTTATTAATAAGACTCTTGTCAAATTAAATAAGGCTTACAAATTAATTATAAAGATCTTAATATTGATTCATTTATTTTGCCACTGTTCCTGACAAAGGCTATTCAATATAATAACACACCTTGGATTTAAATGGAAAGAAATATTTTTAATAATGGACTGAAGAGTTTACATTTTTGCACTGGCAAATTTTTGAGAGCCAATACTGACTAGTGTCTTTCAAATGAACACACAAAATGAGAAATAAGCTTACAAAATAGAATATATCAATTTCTGCTAGCCTCATCCATGAAGTTGTTAGCCAAACATGCAAAACTGATACACCCACTATTCAGTGCGAGTTTATTCCATCAAAATATTACATAATTTATGTTTTTGCCAGTCATCTGTGTTTTCTCAGCCAACATGTACATTGTGTGTATTTAGCAAATTTATTAAAATATTTTTTTTTTAATAGAAGTAGTCTTTGAGCCTTAACTTGCAAAACCTGAAACTTTTGCCACTGAAAAACCAGAGCTGATGCTCTCAGTATAATGAGTCTAATCAAGGGGCAGGACGTGAAGTGGTTGCACACTTGGTTCAAGCGAGCGAATTGGTTGCAAACTTGACAAAATGGCGAACACGGCGTGACTTTTCGAAACGGGTGAACGAATTATTGCCAGGCGAGTGGGTTTCTTTGATATTTTGAAGTTCATTAGTATGTCTATTCCATAATGTGATATATATGCCACACTCGGTTAAAGGTTTCAGCTTCCTAGATTCTGTTTTGACGAAGTTATTGAAGATATAAACTGATCATGTAGATATTTTGAAATTTGACATAAGACTGTTCTGGTCGGGTTTTCTCTTAATTTATTCGAATTTGTAAGTTTTGAACTGCATTTAACAATAACAAAATTTGTTTCTGTCAATGCTGTACAAATGGTTTAGTTCGCAAGTCCGAAGATAACGTTCAATACACAAAAATATCTTGTTCAAGCACATTTTGGTTGCAGACTTATACTTCAAGCATTTTTGGTTGCAATCAAGCCGTGTTCGCTCGCTTGAACCAAGTGTGCAACCATTTCACGTCCTGCCCCTTGCTAATATGACTTGTTTTCAGAATTGAAAAAATACATATATTTGTCTAAGACAACATGTAATGGCTTTAAAAATAGCCTTATTAAAATTAGCTTGGACTCTTTACAAAAATGCAAATTTGACTAACACTGAAATTAAATTAAAAGATGGCAAATTGTAAGATAGTTACTTGAATAAGTTACACTGTCATACTTTATTGAGTTTTCCTTTTGAAAATAACTTATTTACAATGCACATGTGTAAAATAGACTATTTGTATACCTTCTCTAATTATACTGATAATATGATAGAAATTAGGGTATATTAAAATATTTTGTTTGTAAAACAGTAAATATCACAAAGATTTAAGTGATATACATGTATAAATATTATAAGGTACGAGGGGGATGACCCATACCCTTGTATTCCTATAACAATTACAGGGTGAATAAACGGGGTTACCAAGTTGGGGCCTCAAAAAAAAAAAAAATGACTTGCAAACATTTGAAAGTAACAGAAAAATCACATAATTTGTTCAAAATTCCACTCGCAATTTGTGAGAATGTGAGCTTTTCCCCTAACTTTTCAGCAAGGAATCCTGATGGAACAACTGCTTTTAAAATAAGGGGGAAATTGTCATCCACTGGAGGGCAAATGTCCAGTATTTCATTTTTACAGTGGAGAGTAAATGCCCTGGGACGATAATGTCTGTATACCATCCTGAACCAATCAATTGACATCATTAAATAATTATGCATTCTCTTGAAAAATCAAGAGTTCTGACTTTGAAGTTAAAGAATCCCTTGCCTATTTTAAGTGTCCTCAGGATTGTGACACTGTTGTACCCTGGTATAGAACTATTCACTAAATGAGGAGAAAATGAGTAAGCAACTGCCAGGATAGCTTGAAATGTTACAAATGTTTTTGGATCCAATTTTGTTTGATTTTATTAACCTGTCAATTGCATAATATTATTGACTATAAGGTCAATACACACGTCACACAATATATTAATCTTCTATATTATTATTATATTATAGACTATCGGTACATTTTTAGAGATGTACGCAGTTAGATGTTATTAAATTTGTGTTTATGAAATAATTATACTGAGCGTTATAGCACATTCTAACACGACATTTTTCACTATTGAATATAGAAGAACAGAAAGTGTGTGTTATTATGCAGTTGACGTTCTATATTTTGATATGTGACGTAATCATTATACATGTGACGTAACCACAAAAAATCTAATGCGCCAAAAAATAAGAACGGAAGCAAATCTGGCGCAATGTTGCTTAATATCAGGTTATGGCAGCATTTATTTGTTGATGTTGTGTTAGAATCGAAATAATATATCCAAATTGGTGATTTTATTGCTTGACAGTCAGCTGATTTGGCATGTTCAAACCCTTGTCTATATATTATATAGATATAGTTTTTTTTTCTAGATTTACTTTTTACACTATCCCAAAACTGTGCCAAGTCCCTGTAATTCGACCAAGTTAAATCGTTTGATATAAGTTAACTGAGATAGGGATTTGAGTACACATGTTTTAATATGACTGAGATAGGGATTTGAGTACACATGTTTTAATATGGTTTTATTCAGTTTGTTTTGCTTTTGACACTATGGGTCACCCTTTTTTCGCATTGAATTGAGGCGTAACGTTCAAAGGCGACTAGATCTTCTTGGAGTTTGTCATGATCTGATATATTATAGATATGTCTATTTAACAAACAATCATCTGCAAAATGTCTAACCTGAGATTTTACACTGAGTGGCAGGTCGTTTATACGCAGAAAGTCCGAGCGGGCCGAAGGCCCCGCGAGGGCTGTAGCGCTCTTAGATAACATGTATGATGCGTATCAATTCAAATGAAATCAAATTAATAGTAAAATGAAAATTTCAAGAAAGTATATTTCCTATACCTAATGAGCTGTGAAAAAATCCTAAGTTACCTGGGCGCCGCCATTTTGAAATCCTTTTGAGCTAAATATAGATATCACAGTGCTTTTAATGAACGTCTACAAAATTCAGACTATTGTTAGCAGACGCATGCTTACTAACACTTCCAGTGAAAGAATGATGTACAAAATCAGGAAATAAACATTCATTTCATTCATAAGAACTATAGTCACGATGATAAATGTAAAAAGTTACTTTAAAATCCTTTTTGATAAATTAGCACATTAAAAATAACGTAAAAACAACATATGTGATTAGAGATTAACAGAAAATGGTGGACGGGATTTTCCAAACACCGACGCATGCGCAGTGGTCCCTTTTCCGGTGATATGTTGAACACCACCAATTTATTCGTTTCTTTTTACGATACAAATCCCTGCATTTACTTATTTACGAATTGCAAGATAGATCTTGTTAACATGTACACTAAACATGTTATGCTTAAATCATAAGAGCTTTCCGCGCCATAGGTAGCACCTAATTTCATATTATGAAACATTAACGGAACGAGTAAAGTTCCCTGCAGCACACTGGAGTCAACATGAACTTGTTTTGGGTTTTACGTCACATCGACACAGTATATGTCATATCGCGACGTTCCAGCTTTACTGGTGGAGGAAGACCTCAGGTGCCCTTCCGTGCATTATTTCAGGCACGAACAGGCACCTGAGTAGAACCACCGACGTTCCGAAAGCTAGCTGGATAGCTTCCTCACATGAAAGAATCCAAAGTCCCTGTCGGGATTCGAACCCACAGCGGTGAGGGGCAAGTGATTCGAAGTCAACAACCTTAACCACTCGGCCACGGACGCCCCTGAACTAATGAATGCTTCTCGAGTATTCACCCTCGACTACCACTTTCATGGATCTGTCTTTACGGAAAACATGCAAATCACGGTGTTTTTACAGCAAGAAAATAAAAAAGTAAAATCATAAAGACATAATTAAAGGAACTGAAGATGTGGAAATTTCACCTTCATTAACCGGATCGCGAATACTAATAACTTTAATGATAAAAAGGACATTTACTTGTGAAACCCGTGAACTTCACGTGTGATTAGAGCTTTGATTATTAATAACGCAAATGAATTATTTAAAAAATGTTTATTTGAATTTACTTACAGAATTTTCTGAAATTCTTGAAGTCTGAGATTCGGTCTGAGAGTGAGATTCCAAAAAATCAATGACGTCACTTTAGCAGTTTAGGCCAACGCAGCACTTAACCAGAAAGTGCTCGAGATTGGCTGAACTGTTGAAGAGGCCTTACAAAATAAAACATTTCAAGTTTTTTTTAATGATTTCGAATAGCTTAAACTAATATTTCTTTATAACTATCATGTTTTTCAATTACATTGCTATAAGCGACTTTTATCTAAAATTAGGTGTCACGTGATATAAATTAGAAAACAAAAATAAAGTTTACTGTGAGGATGGAGAATTTTATTACAGCTGAAACTATTAAATCTGTTTTGAACTATGACAGTCTTATACAAGTTATGGAACAAGCTTTGACAAAGTTTTCCAGCAGAAATGTAGTTCAACCAGTACGGTCAGTTGTTCCTGTAGCAAAAGAAGGAGGGTGAGTTAGAAAAAATTGCAGCTTGTATACTGCATACATTGTACATGTATATACAATATCATTATGTTATTATATGGCTGTAAAGGCCCATGATTGAAAATAGAATTAGATTTATTCTATTCTATTCTATAACGAAAAAGCTCACAATTTAACAATGGATAGACTGTGTAAAATGTGTAAATAAAAAACATTGAAATTTAATATAAAATATTCAGACTTTTGAGTTAACATGTTTTTCTCATGATACTATTTAACTTGAAACTATTATCCTATACAAAGTAATATTCTTGTAAGTAACTGTAAGCCTTTATCAAGTTAATGGCCATGCGTATATAAAAATTGCAATATATTGTACTGGTATGTTTCTATCATATACTGTATACTATATAATTTCATGTTTTAATTAAATTTTATCTTTATTTATTTATTTCAAAATATAAAAATTCAAACAAAACGTAAGTGTTGACCCCTGGTATAAAACTATTTACTGTATGGGGAGAAAATGTGTAAGAAACTTGATATGCAATCATACAAAAACTTTATGTATCACATATGACTGACAACAAATTATATAGAGAAGTTTTGTTTGTTTTGCATGTAAGATTGAAATATAATTTCACTGAGTGAACACAAGATGCAATATTTTCACGAGCGGCATAGCCACAAGTGAAAATATAATAGCTGGTGTTCACAAATGAAATATATTTCAAACTTATATGTAACACAAATAAATTTTCTTTTTATTTCATGCTTTTTAAGTGATTTTAAGTACTTTTTTTACTAATTTTGCCGCGAAATGTCGCGCATTCTCCCTTGTGACGTCATCACATCATGACGTCACATTATCAATTTTGAAATATAGGTGTGTTACATTTCTCTAATTTTGTTACATTTTTAACATTATGTATGATGACATATCGTCAGCATTTCTGGTTTAATGATTTTTGTCCAAGTTATGGCCCTTTAATAATTTTTATTTTTAAAGTTTGTCCAGACTACTCCTCTTATACCACTAATGCAATTCCGATGAAACTTTACAGCATTGATCTGTAGCTCAAGTCCTTGCGCATATTGCACGGGTTTTCCGGTTAGATGATTTTTGGCCGGGTTATGGCCCTTTAATAAAAAAGTTTTTTTTGTTGTTTTTTTGTGTTGCCAGATACACAAAAGCTTGTCTGGACTACTACTCAAAAACTACTGGTGAAATTTCATCTAAACTTTGTACCAATTCTAGTTGTGCATATCATCGGCTTTTTATGGTTCAATTTTGTCAGAGTTATGGCCCTTTAATTATTTTATTTTTTAAAGTTTGTCCAGACTACTTCTCATATACCACTAATGCAATTTCAATGAAACTTTACAGGATTGATTGGTAGGTCGAGCACTTGCGCATATGACACAGGGTTTCCGCTTGAATGAATTTAGCCTAGTTATGGCCCTTGAAATAATAAAGTTTGTCTGGACTACTCCTCATATACCATTAATGCAATTTCAATGAAACTTTACAGCATTAATTGGTAGGTCAAGTACTTGTGCATAATACACAAGTTTTTGGCTTGAATTATTTTTGGCTGAGTTATTGCCCTTGAATAAAAAAGGTGTTTTTTTGTGTTGCCAGCTACACAGAAGTTTGTCTGGACTACTCCTCATATACCATTAATGCAATTTCAATGAAACTTTACAGCATTAATTGGTAGGTCAAGTACTTGTGCATAATACACAAGTTTTTGGCTTGAATTATTTTTGGCCGGGTTATGGCCCTTTAATAAAAAAGTATTTTTGTTTGTTTTGTGTTGCCAGATACACAAAAGTTTGTGTGGACTACTTCTCAAAAACTACTGGTGCAATTTCATCTAAACTTTACAGTTCTAAATGATCAGTACCAATTCTAGTTGTGCATATCATCAGCTTTTTATGGTTCAATGAATTTTGTCAGAGTTATTGCCCTTTAATTATTTTATTTTTTAAAGTTTGTCCAGACTACTTCTCATACACCACTAATGCAATTTCAATGAAACTTTACAGGATTGATTGGTAGGTCAAGCACTTGTGCATATGACAGGGGTTTTCCGCTTGAATGATTTTAGCCTAGTTATGGCCCTTGAAATAATAAAGTTTGTCCGGACTTCTCCTCATATACCATTAATGCAATTTCAATGAAACTTTACAGGATTAATTGGTAGGTCAAGTACTTGTGCATAATACACAAGTTTTTGGCTTGAATGATTTTTGGCTGAGTTATTGCCCTTGAATAAAAAAGGTGTTTTTTTGTGTTGCCAGCTACACAGAAGTTTGTCTGGACTACTCCTCATATACCATTAATGCAATTTCAATGAAACTTTACAGCATTAATTGGTAGGTCAAGTACTTGTGCATAATACACAAGTTTTTGGCTTGAATTATTTTTGGCTGAGTTATTGCCCTTGAATAAAAAAGGTGTTTTTTTGTGTTGCCAGATACACAAAAGCTTGTCTGGACTACTACTCAAAAACTACTGGTGAAATTTCATCTAAACTTTGTACCAATTCTAGTTGTGCATATCATCGGCTTTTTATGGTTCAATGAATTTTGTCAGAGTTATGGCCCTTTAATTATTTTATTTTTTAAAGTTTGTCCAGACTACTTCTCATATACCATTAATGCAATTTCAATGAAACTTTACAGCATTAATTGGTAGGTCAAGTACTTGTGCATAATACACAAGTTTTTGGCTTGAATGATTTTTGGCTGTGTTATTGCCCTTGAATAAAAAGGTGTTTTTTTGTGTTGCCAGCTAAACAGAAGTTTGTCAGGACTACTCCTCAGAAACTGCTGGTGCAATTTCATCAAAATTTTAGGGACCATGTCTAGTTGTGCACCTCTTGTCAGAGTTTTTGCCCTTTAATGATTTTAATTTTGAAATTTGTCCGGACTACTCCTGTTATACCACTAATGCAATTTCAATGAAACTTTACAGGATTGATTAATAGCTGAAATTCTTGTAGCACACAGGTTTTTAGGTTGAATGATTTTTTGCCAAGTTATGGCTATCATGAGGTGACACATGTCATCACTGATGGCCCTTGTTGGTATCCTACATTTCTTGCTAACTGGGAAAAGGCACACCTGTAAACATAGAAAAAATGTCCATAAAGAAATTTATTATATGTTTTTCATTTTTACATGAAAGGTTTCTGGGATTGATGCCATCTTTGTGTGAAGATGAAGGAAACTTGGGTGTGAAACTTGTCACATTTTACCCACACAACATGGAACGACATGGAGTACAGACTCATAATGCTGTTATCATCTTGTTTGAAACTAGGACAGGTGTACCCAAAGCAGTAGGTTGAGCATTTACTTCTTGTCTATTTTATCAGGTTCTCAATACATTCCAATACATTTTTTTTATATATTTCACATCATGCAGAAACAAACATAAAAAGTCCAAGGACCAACAACAACAAATGATTTCAGTGTTCAATATTATCTTTTGATAGCAAAATTAATAATGAATAATTTTTTTTAATAACAAATATATTTTTTTTACCAGGTTTTCAATTTTTAGCTCACAAAGTGACATGGTGAGCTTTTATGATCACTTTTCGTCCGTTGTCCGTCCGTTGTCCCTTCGTAAACTTTTACTTTAAAAGACATCTCCTCATAAACCGCTCAGCCAATTTCATTCAAACTTCACAGGAATGTTCCTTTGGTAGTCAACTTTAAAATTTGTTCAAAGAATTTAATTCCATGTAGAACTCTGGTTGCCATGGCAACCAAAAGAAAAAACTTAAAAAATCTAGAGCTAGAGCTTAAATATTTGGCATGGAACATTGTCTAGTCAGTGTCTACCAAACTTGTTCAAATAAAAGCCATGGGGTCAAAATTGGCCCTGTCCCAGTGGGTCATTAATTTTCCTCATTTCTATATAGTAAAAACTTAAAAAATCTTCTTTAAAAAAAAACCCAAATAGCAAGAGCTTAGATATTAAGCATGAAACATCTTCTAGTGGGTGTCTACCAAGTTTGTTCAAATAAAAGTCCTTGGGTCAAAATTGGCCCCTTCAAGGGGTGGGGATCATTGTTTTTCCCTTTATGTGTATAGTAAAAACTTAAAAAATCTTCTTTTAAAAAACCCAAAGAGCTAGAGCTTAGATATTTATCATGAAACATCTTCTAATGGGTGTCTAGCAAGTTTGTTCAAATAAAAACCCTTGGGTTAAAATTAGCCCTGCCTGCGGGGGCCTATATACAGATGAGCAATTTTAGGGCCAACATGGCCCTCTTGTTTGAAAATACTGGTTATTATATTGGTCAGTGAAAGGTGGGCTGTCAGGTGTTCTGGTAGGCAAGCAGCTAGGCCTCAGACATGTGATTTAAAGTTGTGTTAAGGTTACCTTTTTGCAAAATCAGAAACATGTTAAGAAAATGCCTATGCTGATGTTAAGTCTGGATACAGACTGTTTTTTTTAAATTTGTATATAGATAAACATAATTATATATTTAATATATTACTAAAATCATTGATTCAGTTTTCTTAGCAGCCTAGTAAAATAGCTCAAAATTACATTGTAATACTATACTTAAATATAGATTCCATAAGTTAGTTGAATGTAAAATTTACCTAATTAACATAATTGTAAGTTAGATTTACAATTAGTACAACAGTATCAGATGTGATCATGCATATTTTAATTTTAGACATGATATTATAATTTCAATTCATTACACTGTGAAATCTTTTATAGTATGACCTACCTGTAGATATCAATTAAGCTTTTGTCTATAATTGTGAACTTTAGGTACATTATCACTGCAAGTAGTAAAATAATTAAACTGCATCATTTCAGTTAATACATAATGTAGATATATACATTTGTACATCTGCTTTCAATGTATTTTACTTTTAAGTCTATTGTCGGCTTAATTTTTTATTCATCATTGTGTTTGGAAGTCTACTTTCAATTTACATGATTTTACTGGGAATTCTCCATGTACTATCTGTAAATAATAGGCATAATTTTACATGGAAATTTACTTTCATTTGCATGACCTTAACTTCATCAGTAAACAAATTATAATGACATTTAATAGGAAAATTACAACACTTGTGTCCATGTACAATTTATGCACATGTGTTTTAAGTAAATGTGTACGAATGAAATATATATGAGCCGCGTCACAACAAAACCAACATAGTGCGTTTGCGATCAGCATGGATCCAGACCAGCCTGCGCATCCGCGCAGTCTGATCAGGATCCATGCTGTTCGCTTACAAAGTCTATAACAAGTAGAGAAACTGATAGCGAACAGCATGGATCCTGATCAGAATGCGCGGATGCATGCTGGTCGCAAACCCATTATGTTGGTTTTGTCGTGATGCGGTTCATATGATAATGTACAAAATGTTAATGTACATGTATTTACAGATAATGGATGGTGAAGTGATCACTGCAATGAGGACAGCAGCTGTATCAGCAGTAGCTACAAAGGTTTCTCATATATAACTAGTGTTTTTATTAATTAATAAGAACTGTCATATTAATCAACATTTATTTTTCTTGTCAGTTTCTTGATTTGCCTAATTTCCAAGGTTATTTGTTATACGCCTGAAAAAATTGAGGAAGGTCAAACCTGCGCTATGCACATTATTTTATTATGGTTAACATTTACAGACAAGTTTTTTTTATTGGGTTTCTACCTTAATTGAAAGATTATTTTTGTTTACTTATACAAATTTATCAGGCATAAATTGCCCCGCCTTTTTGGTGCTCTTTTTTATTATTCAAACAATATATTGGAACTTATTAGAATGAATTTTAATCTTATGTTACAGTATCTTGCACCAGAAGGTACAACAAAGTTAGCTATATTAGGTAGTGGTGTACAGGCGAGATCTCACTTCCAGGCTCTCTCTACTGTCTGCAAATTCACACAGGTACATTTGTAGGTTTTCTAGAGAAATGTAATATTTTACAATTATTGACTAGTGAGCCTTTGAATATTATGTGATATTTATCAGTCAATGACATTGTACTGGTGAATATCACATCTTATTACACTTCACCTAAATGTCACATGGTGTTATTTCGATCTATCATTGTGGAAATGAATATCACCTGGTCAGTAATTTTTTAGCTCACCTGAGCATGCTCAGGGTGAGCTTTTAGGATCGATTATTGTCCGTCGTCCGTTGGCCGTCGGCCATCGTCCGTTCACATTTAGTTGTTAACACTCTAGCGGTCGCATTTTTGCCTCAATCATCATCAAACTTGATCAGGATGTTTGTCTAGGTGATAGCTCGGATGAGTTCGAACATGGGTCATCTCGGATGAAAAAGTAGGTCACAAGAGTTTAAAATAGAAAAACCTTGTTAACACTCTAGCGGTCACATTTTTGCATCAATCATCATCAAACTTGGTCAAGATGCTTGTCTAGGTGATAGCTCGGATGAGTTCGAACATGGGTCATCTCGGATGAAAAAGGAGGTCACCGGAGCTAAAAATAGAAAAACCTTGTTAACACTCTAGCGGTCACATTTTTGCATCAATCATCATCAAACTTGGTCAGGATGCTTCTCTAGTTGATAGCTCAGATGAGTTTGAACATGAGTTCGAACATGGGTCATCTCGGATGAAAAAGTAGGTCACCAGAGCTAAAAATAGAAAAACCTTGTTAACACTCTAGCGGTCACATTTTTGCATCAATCATCATCAAACTTGGTCAAGATGCTTGTCTAGGTACTTGCTCGGATGAGTTCGAACATGGGTCATCTCGGATGAAAAACTAGGTCACTGGAGCTAGAAATAGAAAATTTTGTTAACACTAGTGGTCACAATTTTGACTCAATCTTCATCAAACTTGGTCAGGATGCTTGACTGGGTGATAGCTCGAATGAGTTCGAACATGGGTCATCTTGGATGAAAAACTAGGTCACCAGAGCTAAAAATAGAAAAACCTTGTTAACACTCTAGCGGTCACATTTTTGCATCAATTATCATCAAACTTGGTCAAGATGCGTGTCTAGGTGATAGCTTGGGTGAGTTCGAACATGGGTCATCCTGGATGAAAAACTAGGTCACCGGAGCTAAAAATAGAAAAACCTTGTTAACACTCTAGCGGTCACATTTTTGCATCAATCATCATCAAACTTGATCAAGATGCTTGTCTAGGTGATAGCTCGGATGAGTTCGAACATGGGTCATCTTGGATGTAAAAGTAGGTCACCGGAACTAAAAAAAGAAAAACCTTGTTTACACTCTAGTGGTCACAATTTTGACTCAATTGTCATCAAACTTGGTCAGGAAACTTGTCTAGGTCATTGCTTGGATTAAATCGAACATGGGACATCTCGGATGAAAAACTAGGTCACAGGAGCTAAAAATATAAAAATCTTGTTAACACTCTAGTGGCTACTGTTGTGATCCAATTATTCTGTTAATTGGTCTGAAAGTTTGTATTGATGATTTCTTAAAGTCAAGATTGAACATGGGTCATCTTGGATGAAAAATTAGGTCACACCGCCCAAATATGGAAAAACCTTGTTAACATTCTAGTGGTCACATTTTCGACTCAATTATCATCAAACTTGGTCAGGATGCTTGTCTAGGTAATTGCTTGGATGAGTTCGAAATCGCATGTGGAACTAGGTCACCGAAGCTAAAAATAGAAAAATCTTGTTAACACTCTAGTTGCTACTGTTTTGATCCAAGTATCCTGGAAATTGGTCTGAAAGTTTGTTTTGATGATTTCTAGGTCAAGTTTGAATATGTGTCACCTTGGTAAAAAAACTAGGTCGCACTGCTCAAATATGGATAATCCTTGTTAACACTGTAGTGGTAACATTTTTGACTCACCTGTCATGAGACTTGGTCAGAATGCTTGTCTAGATAATTGTTTGGATGAGTTTGATAAGTCAGGTGAGCGATCTAGGGCCATCATGGCCCTCTTGTTTTTTTTGCAATATTACCCAAAGGCAAGTAATCTATATAGACAAGAAAACGTAATGTTATAGTTCTCTCCCCTGCATAAAGTACATTTAAGTATGATAAGATCAATGATGAATGGCTCTCAATGTAATAATGCATAGCAGTGAAAAAATATGTGTCTTATTTCATGATGGGCCTAAGATTAAAAAAAATCACAAAAAGTAAATCCTAATAAGAATAAACAAAACAGAAGCTTTGGACTGTTTTCATTCTAGCATGAAAAAAAGATTATAATTGAAGGGATTGATATCAGATTTTAAATTGTTGTCTTTTCCATCCTGAGCAATGTTATTTCTGTTTCATTTTCATTTACATTGTCACATTGTGTCTTGATACTTATAAAGATATACATTTATATATTTATATCATGATAAATTTTTTCACAGTTTTGTCTTCCTTTATTGCTAAATAAAATCACTGTTTAGAGTTTGGATGCGAGGAATTATATCAGGGGGCAGGGGACATATCTGAATGATGGCCCCGGTCAAATTTTTCAATAACTCAGACATGGTGTTTTGAAGGTACTGGAAACTTTTGATATTTCTATGTCATTGTAATTCTTTCTTGTTTGTGTAAGAATGAGCAGTATTTTTGGATTTTTACCCGAAACTAAGCATTTTGGTAGCTTTGTATGTATTTGTGACCCTCCGAATGGAGGTGAAAAAGTTAAAAATGAAGCTTTGACAGTTTGTGCCAAACAAGTAAGAAATTTTGGATAAATTTTGTGAAAAATCTACACGTATGACATACACTTTATTGGTCATTTTTGAAAATGCCATTGATTGCACTGCGTGTTAGAGATATTTTTAAAGGAATTGGGCGAATTCTGGAGTATGAAGATTGCCCATATTGGTATATTTTAGGTGAAGGTGAAGATTTTTCCTGGGTGGGGGTAAATATAAATTGCTGCCAGTCATTATTTTTAGGAGCAATGCATGCAAACTATTATTTTCTTCAATCCTTGAATAATGCTGTTCAACTGGTTATCTGCCTGTGAAACAGGTTTTGAAATATTTGGAATTGTGTTTCTGGCCACACTGAAATACAAAATTGTTCATTTTTAGGTCCCCTGCCTGTCAAATGACAAACAGTGATTTTATCAAGAGATAAAATAACTGATTTCGATTCTAACATGACATCAACAAATACCTGATATCAAGCTTAATTGCACCTGACTTGTTTCCGTTCTTATTTTGAGCATTTTGCATTTTTAATGGTTACGTTTCATGTCTTATGGTTATGTCACATTTCTAAATATGGAATTTCAATTGCATAATAATACACACTTTTGGGTCTTCTATGTTCAATAGGGAACAATGCGGGTCGTGTTAGAATTATTGCTATATATTGAAATGGGTAGTTAGTGTATGTTTCAAAATAAATTAAAGACACTCATTTAATCAAGTCAGATACTGGTACTTTATCTAAGTTGGACATGTAAATGCATTGGTACCGCAACATTATTTTTTCTTAGCAATATTTAGACTTATTATTTAATATTTCTATAGTATGTTCATAATATATTTAACCTCTCTAGAGCAACAACGTTAATGCTTGCTTCCCAAGGGGGTGTTGCTTTTACAGAGAACTGAGGTTATACTGTATATATCATAAGAAATACCACTACAGTGGTACATCTTAATCCAGTTCTTCACATAATTATATACTGTGTATCATACACTGAGACAAATATTTTCTTCATGTGTGTACAATTTTATAAACTACAGGTGACAGTTTGGAGTAGAACATATTCTAGTGCTGAGAAATGTGCAGCTGACATTGGGGGTGTGGCCTGTCGTACAGCAGAGGAAGCTGTGAAAGATGCAGATGTCATCGTCACGGTAACAGCATCAACAACTCCTATCCTAGAAAAGTCATGGGTGAAATCAAATGCTCATGTTAATGGTATATTATATTATTACCCCTTACAGTTTTTGAAATGCTAATTTTCCACAGGCCAATGGGAGTTATACTAACTGTTAATTGAGTGTACCATGTGACTAAAATTTTGTCCTGTTACCTATTTTAAAGTAAAAATCTGAAAAATAAAAGCCTATAGAGATGGTGTACCAATGAAGTATTTGTGCATGGTAATAAAATAAATAACACAGGTTTGTGAGTAACAGCAAAAATATCATCCCTTGCAAAAAGTAGTAAAAACTACATGTAACACCTCGGGTAACAGTTTTTTCCTCGGGATAATATTTTTACTGTTACTTACAAAGCTATGTGTTATTTAAAATTATATTGCTGTGTCTTCAGAGTCTTGTGAAAAATGTTTTGCTGAAGTTTTGAATTCCAAGCTATGGCTTATTATTGTCTCTGTTTGAACCAATGTGAAGTTCATGGTTAATACAGAAGTACATGATTGTGACATGTTGGTCAATTTAGTTCTGCTCACACAGAAAGATACTTACTGTTATCTTCTGTTAAAATCAGATATGTTCTATATCCTTATACCAGTTTGAATGGTTTATGTGTGGATTAAAATAAATCTTTAAATAAAAGTGTTAGTTTATACTGCATATATCATTATGAAGAATTGTGAATGCATGGAGCCGTTTTACTCTGATTTTTATCACATTGCTGCATAGGTTATGTTGCTTCTTAGAGGTCAGCATGGCCATTGTAGTTTTCCAGTGATCACAAGTGGATTTTGCTTTCTTTGTTTATCACATTTCTGTAAGATACCTGATGCTCATGTATATAATACATGTATGTTATTAATAGCTACAGAGCTTAAATGTTAAATGATACTCGGAAACAAAAATACTGTATTCTTTTGTGTAGACAACAGAAAAATTACATGTGCACTATTTAACAATACTGCCATAATACTGGAATTAATTTGTATATTTAAACCAGAGTTTACTGGTTTAATCTGCAGACGAGGCAAAATTTCTTTGTGAAATTGATTTCTTGCATAGCAGACTGGCGTTTCCGTGAGTTTTACCCATGCCGGAAATTTCATCTGGCATGGGGGGTGCCAGATGAGTCGCGTGCTGTACAATGGCACGCTTAGGATGATGTCATTTTACCGTTATGAATGAAGTTGTAATTCATACGCTGTTGTAAGAAAGTAGTTACGTTGTAATGATATAAATTTCCATTGAAAATAAATGTAAAGAATTTAAAATATACAATGTAATGGAATATGGTAGAATATGCAAGAAAAAATATCTGACATGTTTGCGGTTCGGATCGGAATATCCGTCCCTCGGTCACCCGCCTATGGGCGGTAACTCGGCAAGCCTCGTTACCGCCCAATGGGCGGGTCACCTCGGGACAGAATTCTGATCCGAACCACAAAATATGACAGATATTATTAGTCTGACATTGAGTCTTGTGCTCATTTGTCTCTTACCACTGTTTAAGTAATCATGTGAGATTAGTAACTGTTGTCAGTTACTTTTGGAAAGATATGTAATTTCTGGATAGTAATCCAGAAAACTGGTAAGGTTGACAGACTGTGGATATATACTAAACATGTGTTAGAATTAGTACAAGAACCAAACAAACAAACAAGTATTCATACATGACAGATATAATAAAAATATGTTTATGTTCTATGTTTCAACAATTTATTTACTAAACCAATTAACTTGGCATTACTCTGTCTGTCAACATCATATTCCGATGTTAAAAGTCTTGTGATATTGCTAGATTTTTCTTCAAAAAGAGTGAGATTTTAGAATGTGTGATAAACAAAGAATGAAGTTCTGACATAGAAAATAGGGAGATTTCTTTACTTTGTGAAAATACCCCTTATTTTAAGAAAAATCTTTGAAAATTGGCTGCAGAAAGTGGGAGTCTCCAGCTAAAAGTGGGAGAGTTCACATGTATGAGTTCATGTATGTTCAATTAAGAAACACAGTACTTTATGTCAGCACTTTTCATTTTAGATTAATTACTTTATTTCAGCTGTAGGTGCTTGTAGACCCGACTGGGCAGAGATTTCTCCAGATCTAATGAGGTCTTCTATATTATATGTTGACAGTAAGGAGGGTGCCTTAAAAGAAAGTGGTGATGTAATCATGTCAAAGGTTTAAATAATTTATTTATTATGGCTATCAAATTGTTATTTTTATGCTCCACGAAGGGAGAGCGTATAGTCGCCACCTTGTCCGTCCAGTCCGTCTGTCTGTCCCTTGTTTTGTCCGGAGCATAACTTGAAAACCCTTGGAGATAATTGTTGAAACTTCATACAGTGGTAGAGGGCATTGAGGGGGAGTGCAGTGTCAAAGAACCATAACTCTATTTTGCCCGGTTTTTGAATTATTTCCCCTTTTAGAAAAATCTTGTCCGGAACATGACTCTAAAACTATAAGAGATATCAACATGAAACTTTGTAGGTAAATAGATCTCAATAGGTAGATGTGCATTGCACAAGAACCATAACTCTATTTTGCCCGGTTTTTGAATTATATCCCCTTTTAGAAAAATCTTGTCTGGGACATAACTCTAAAACTATAAGAGATATCAACATGAAACTTGGTAGGTAAATAGATCTCAATGGGTAGATGTGCAGTGCATAAGAACCATAACTCTTTTTTGCCTACTTTTGGAGTGATTGCCCTTTTGTTTATCTTTACAATTTGAACTTTGTCCGGAACATAACTCTAAAACTATAAGAGATATCAACATTAAAACATTGCAGGTAGATAGATCTCATTGAGTAGTAGTGCAGTGCAAAAGAACTATAACTCTTTTTAGCCTCATTTTTGAATTATCTCCCCTTTTAGAAAAATCTTGTGTTAAACTATAAGAAATATCAACATGAAACTTTGTAGGTAGATAGATCTCAATGGGAATGTGCAGTGCCCAAGAACTTGAACTCCGCCTCTCAATGGGTATGTGCAGTGCCAAAGAACTTGAACTCCGTCTAACAAAATTTAGTAGTTATTGCCCTTTGCTCATTTTTACATTTTTTAACTTTGTCCAGGATGTAACTTGGAAACCATAAGAGGTATCAACAAGAAACTTTGTAGGTTGATAGATCGGCATCATCGCATTGATTAGAAGTGCAGTGCAAAGAGCAGTAACTCTGCCTTGCCTAATTTTGGAATTATTGCACTTTGAACTTTTTCCAGGGACATAACTTTGAAACTACTTTCCTGTGTTCAAAACCTATTCGGGGAGCATCACCTGGCTCAAACTGGGCTCTTGTTTAGTTTATTATTTATTTACAATCAGTTGTTGGGAAAGGTTGTAGCAAATATTTGAACTACTACAGAGTGTAATCTGATGATCTTTTTGCAATATTGTATTTTTAGCTCATCTGTCACAAAGTGACAGGGTGAGCTTTTGTGATCGCTCTTCGTCCGGCGTCCGTCCGTCCGTCTTCCGTCCGTCCGTCAACTTTTACTTTAAATGACATCTCCTCATAAACCACTAAGCCAATTTCATCCAAACTTCACAGGAATGTTCCTTTGGTGGTCACCTTTAAAATCTGTTCAAAGAATTTAATTCCATGCAGAACTCTGGTTGCCATGGCAACTGAAAGAAAAAACTTTAAATATCTTCTTTTAAAAAACCGTAAGAGCTAGAGCTAAGATATTTGGCATGAAACATCTTCTAGTGAGTGTCTACCAAGTTTGTTCAAATAAAAGCCCTGGTGTCAAAATTGGCCCCACCCCAGGGGGTCATTGATTTTCCCTATATGCATATAGTAAAAACTTAAAAAATCTTCTTTTAAAGAACCCAAAGAGCTAGAGCTAAGATATTTGGCATGAAACATCTTCTTATGAGTGTCTACCAAGTTTGTTAAAAAAAAAGCCCCGGGGTCAAAATTGGCCCCGCCCCACGGGGTCATTGATTTTCCCTATATGCATATAGTAAAAACTTAAAATATCTTCTTTTAAAGAACTCAAAAAGCTAGAGCTAAGATATTTAGCATGAAACATGTTCTAATGGGTGTCTACCAAGTATGTTCAAATAAAAGCCCTGGGGTCAAAATTGGCCCCGCCCCCGGGGGTAATTGATTTTTCTTTTATGTGTATAGCAAAAACTTAAAAATCTTCTTTGAAAAAACTGTAAGAGCTAGAGCTTAGATATTTGGCATGAAACATCTTCTAGTGAGTGTCTACCAAGTTTGTTCAAATAAAAGCCCTGGGGTCAAAATTGGCCCCGCCCCAGGGGGTCATTGATTTTCCCTATATGCATATAGTAAAAACTTAAAAAATCTTCTTTTAAAGAACCCAAAGAGCTAGAGCTAAGATATTTAGCATGAAACATCTTCTAATGAGTGTCTACCAAGTTTGTTCAAATAAAAGCCCCGGGGTCAAAATTGGCCCCGCCCCAGGGGATCATTGATTTTCCCTATATGCATATACATGTTGTAAAAACTTAAAAAATCTTCTTTTAAAGAACTCAAAGAGCTAGAGCTAAGATATTTAGCATGAAACATGTTCTAATGGGTGTCTACCAAGTGTTCAAATAAAAGCCGTGGGGTCAAAATTGGCCCCGCCCCGGGGGTAATTGATTTTCCTTATATGTGTATAGCAAAAACTAAAAAAATCTTCTTTGAAAAACCCAAATAGCTAGAGTTAAGATATTAAGCATGAAACATCTTCTAGTAAGTGTCTACAAAGTTTGTTCAAATAAAAGCCCTGGGGTCAAAACTGGCCCCGCCCCAGAGATGTCATTTATTAACTATATGTGTATAGTAAAAACTTAAAAAATCTTCTTTTAAGAAACCCAATGAGCTAGAGCTTAGATGTTTAGCTTGAAACATCTTCTTATGGGTGTCTACCAAGTTTGTTCAAATAAAAGCCCTTGGGTTAAAATTGGCCCTGCTGGGGGGCAGGGTGGGGCGCTATATACAGGTGAGCGACTTCAGGGCCATTATGGCCCTCTTGTTATATAATGCATTCAGGATGCAAATCAATCTGATTATAATCAGCTTCTAAATAACATCAAACTTTAGGATCTGACGTCCATCCATAAGTAGTCACCTTCTCATGGTCTTTCAAACAACCAATCATTGGCAAGCTTTCATAATTTTGAAAACGATGCAGTTTCTAATTTTAACCCTTGTGAAACCAATACTAAGTTGGTTATTTTAACTATTTCGAGAACAAACATGGCGTTTTCCATATAGCCGACAAGTAAACTGGCAAAACAATCTTGCCCATTAAATACTGAATCCATTATTTCAAGGTAATTTGTTAAAAATTACTTCGAACATTTTTTTCTAACCAAAATCAACAATTTGTTTAACTTCACGGATAATGGTATTTTGATACTTCTAATGCCTATCTGTAAAAATCCACTTTGATTGCATGGCTAAAATAGCTTTCTTGGGAAATCAAAATTATAAAGAAGGTGAAACATATACAGTGGTCATCAGATCTACATGGAAAAAATAAGTAGATCTGAACTTGTCACATGTACTTAATTCTATTTTTGTGTCAGAAACATTTACAATATTATTCTATTTTATATTGATAATGAAATCTTTATATACGATGTTTATATACCACCATGTTTTATATACTATCATGTTTATGCCCTACTATATGTTGAACATAATTAAAGTGTTACACATTACCAGGCTGAGATCTACGGAGAGCTGGGTGAGATGATTTTAGGACAGAAAGAAGCACAAAGAAATAAGCTCACAGTGTTTAAATCCCTAGGTAGAAACATAATTTTATTATACATGTAGTAAGATCAGATTTTATTATACAAAACATGTAAGCATAAGACTGGAGGACATAACCCTAATATGGAGGACACAGCGAGTTATTCCTAGACTCATGTTTTGGTTCTAATTCATCCATTATTTCGCAATAAATATATAATGCATTCTAGATGTTCATAGGTTCCTTTAGAAAATACAGGTCATTAAAGTAAACAGTCATTAAAGTGAACAATGTGTTAAGTAAGTTATTTAAGATTATTATTTCTTTTGACAGTCACTTAGTTAAAGTGCCATTTACGAACTGAAGTTCTTTAACTAAAAGTTTGATATATGGATTGTAAGAGACTTGCAGCAATGTTGTTATATAGAATGATACATTTATTCAGTGAAATTATTTTATTTTGCAGGAATGGCGATTGAGGACACTATGGCAGGGCAGCTAGTGTTAGATACACTTGCAGGAAAAACCTAAGAACATATCAACAGACTTTATATTGAACTCTTAAAATTGTAATCAGACATTGTAATATTTTAATTTTTTGTGTATCCAGTGCACTTAATTATGAATTATGCAAGGTTATCCCAGGTGATATACCCTGCCAAGAAAGGGAGAGGAACAGATGCTGCTTCCAGAGACCATATTTTATGTTAATCATAACTCTGTGATCTTGTGTTGAAATTGGGTAGAATTTACAAGAATGATATAGTGAAGTTGTGCAAGATTCATGGAACTACATCCCTTTGTTTGTTTCCAATGCCTTGTTCAGACCTTTTTAGCTCACCTGTCACAAAGTGACAGGGTGAGCTTTTGCGATCGCTTTTCGTCCGTGTCCGTCCGTCCGTAAACTTTTACTTTAAATGATATCTCCTCATAAACCACTAAACCAATTTCATCCAAACTTCACAGGAATGTTCCTTTGGTGGTCACCTTTGAAAATTGTTCAAAGAATTTAATTCCATGCAGAACTCTGGTTGCCATGGCAACCGAAAGAAAAAAACTTTAAATATCTTCTTTTAAAAAACCCAAAGAGATAGAGCTTAGATATTTGGCATGAAACATCTTCTAGTGAGTGTCTACCAAGTTTGTTCAAATAAAAGCCCTGGGGTCAAAATTGGCCCCACCCCAGGGGGTCATTGATTTTCCCTATTTGCATATAGTAAAAAACTTAAAAAATCTTCTTTTAAAGAACCCATAGATCTAGAGCTAAGATATTTAGCATGAAACATCTTCTAATAAGTGTCTACCAAGTTTGTTCAAATAATAGCCCTGGGGTCAAAATTGGCCCCGCCCCAGGGCATCATTGATTTTCCCTATATGCATATAGTAAAAACTTAAAAAATCTTCTTTTAAAGAACCCATAAAGCTAGAGCTAAGATATTTAGCATGAAACATCTTCTAATAAGTGTCTACCAAGTTTGTTCAAATAAAAGCCCTGGGATCAAAATTGGCCCCGCCCCCGGGGGTCATTGATTTTCCCTTTATGCATATAGTAAAAACTTAAAAAAAATTCTTTTAAAGAACCCAAAGAGCTAGAGCTAAGATATTTAGCATGAAACATGTTCTAATGGGCGTTTACAAAGTTTGTTCAAATAAAAGCCCTGGGGTCAAAATTGGCCCGCCCCGGGGGTCATTGATTTTCCTTATATGTGTATAGCAAAAACATAAAAAATCTTCTTTGAAAAAACCAAAATAGCTAGAGTTTAGATATTAAGCATGAAACATCTTCTAGCGAGTGTCTACAAAGTTTGTTCAAATAATAGCCCTGGGGTTAAAACTGGCCCCACCCCAGAGGTGTCATTGTTTTTAACTATATGTGTATAGTAAAAACCTAAAAAATCTGCTTTTAAAACCCCAATGAGCTAGAGGTTAGATTTTAAGCAGGAAACAACTTTTTGTTGGTGTTTACCAAGTTTGTTCAAATAAAAGGGGGGCGAGTGTAGTAAAAACTTAACATCATGAAACATCTTCTAATGGGTGTCTTCCAAGTTTATTCAAATAAAAGCCCTGGGGTTTAAACTGGCCCCGCTCCGGGGGCCTATATACAGGTGAGCGACCTCAGGGCCATCATGGCCCTCTTGTTTTAGATGAAGTACAAGTATAATTGAGTTGCATTCAAGAAAAAACATGCATACACATGATATATTTGTATGACTTTGTACATTAACTGAAATTTCCAGCACTAATTTTACAGTTACTAGTATATAATTCTGAAAACGTGTGTAAGAATTTAATTCATAATTTGCACAAATAATTATGATATTACAGATTTTTTTTATTGCAAATGACCTATTAGTAATCAAATTACTTTCAGTTTGCTGTTTTGCAGTAAGTAATGCAATATGCACAAATTACTACTGCTTTTTGGCCACACATGTGGTCAAATCTTGCAGTATAACCAACATTTGTGATATTGATGTCATTGTGTGAGATGTTTATATTTGTCATTTAATTTTTTATTCTGCATACACACGTGTTTATTATACTACTTGTATTGTTTGACCAAAGTAGAGTTTGAATAACTTCTCAAAACATTTTTTAAGAACCTGCATTGATCACTCTCACAACTTATATAGTTCATAATTTATTTTTTGTTTATGTAGGAATTTATAAACTTATAGACACACTTCCGAGAACATTCCTGGAACCAACCAGTAAGAAGCAATGCATGTAAAGTTTCATGCTCCAGGAAATAATAGCTTGACCCCCGACCGGGTTTGAACCCTCGCAGTCAGCAATCCTTAGATTACTTTGCCATGCCACCATATTACATTGAGGTTAACATGCATTACATGTGCCATAAGTAGATGTATTAATACAACTAAATAACATTAGCTTACTTGCAATGAAATACATTGATCGTGTGGATTAAATTTGGCTAAAATTATCTACTGGGATCCTACATGTTTACCGGACAATCAGTTTACCGGACAAAAGCTATTCCTGCTGAATAGTGCTTTTATTTTTGCTTTGATTAAAAAATCATACAGACTGAATCGTACACACTCTTTCTATTTCAAAGTAAATAACAACAAAACCACTCTCAGGTAAATATGGTTGATTCAGTTCTTTATTTACTAACATGCCCTTTTGTTTACTAGTTATTTCATGACCTGGTCATGCGGGGGAATAATCTGTTCTGCGCATGTCCGAATAAAGAGGCCCTTAATGGGTTATTTTAGATAGGTTTTACTTTTAATTCTTCTCCAAGAATCTCAGGAGACAATTGTAACATATTTTAATGATAAAAAGTAATTTTAAATTTTGTCCAAAAAGTATCTCGTTGTTGTCTTTTACAAAGAAATGCACATTAAAGAACATATAAGGAAAAGGGTAACGCCACATTGGGAGGAATCTCTACATGAAATGTAAATAAAATAGATTTTATGGCTTTTGTAACATGCTACATGATGACCAAAAGGAAACTGTATGACAAAGAACAGAATTCCATTTAAATATCAATGTTTCATACATTTAAGATTCATTAAGAATCAATACATTAATTGAGTTAATACTCACTGTGTTAATTTCAATTACACCCCATAAATTGGCCTCTTCGTAACAAGCATGGCTGTAGTAGTGTCTTGTTTTAGTGACATACTGTTTTTTTCAATATCTTAACTTTGCCTTTCAATAGTTGTAGTTTCCTTGCTGATTATTTAAAGATTAATTTCAATTCAGGACTTAAAAAATTGAAACGCAATGTCCAGTAAATTGAGCTGTCTACGCGATTTTTTCTCTCTTATAATGCCCTACTTTAAAGACACATTTCTACGGTTAAATGTTTAATTTCATGTTTGTTAAAGTAATTTTTACCTGTATTAATAACCAACAATTATTTGGGTGAAATTTCATTCTTTTTTACTTTTTTAAATAAAAGTTACAGCAAAAAAACATCATATTTTGTCCGGTAATATGTAGGATCCCAGTACAGTAATTAAATGAGATGATCCAAATATTGCAAGTTAGTGCTAGTAGTCCGGAAATGTATTCAACCTCTGTAAATTTTAGAGATATTACTTTTATTACATATTACAAATTTTTCAAGGCTTTAACATCATCCTACCTCAATATACTACCATGGTATTAATCTTTCCTCAGTAAAATATATCACAGTATTAGTTTGAATAAGTCACTGTTGTTAAAATGTTTTCCAGAGCATGTTGAAATGTTGTACAACAAAAATGTCATTTTATCATTATTAATGGCCATTCTAAAAGAACTTGGTTCTGTTGTTTTTTTAAAGATATTTAATAAATGTATATGTAACAGGCATTTTATTTGTTCTTTTTTGTAGTCGTATTTCATTTAATTTTGAGCAAGGGTTTAATCAGGGCTTCCATTAGTGGAAGTTTGGGAGTCATTTACTTCTGACTTTAGCTTGTGACTTCCAAAATATAACCTTTTTCCTTCTTTACCTATATAATGTGACTTCCAGTGTTGACCAGACATTTTGCAGTCTCTGACTTCAAAATTTTGGGACTAAATGGAAGCCCTGGGTTTATTACACTTCTAAAGTATGTTTTGAATTATTCATGAAAAGAAATGTTTGTCTATCAATTATGGCACATGGCAACATAAAGTTCTATCAGTGTGATGAAGACAACAGTTCTTGCATTAGACATCTAGAATGATTGACCTAAAATTGGGTTCTGAAAAGTTTCTTGAAAGGAAAGAATTGGACATTCCTACACAGATTTTGAAGTGAGAAGTAGATGTGTGAAGTATGAAAGTTTTATCTTTTTAACAAGATGCATTCAATTACTTCATCAAAAGTTTCATCACATTTCAATAAGTAGCAATGAAGCTCTTTTGAGAAATATGTCGTCAGAAGCCTTTCAGACTGGACAATTGTGTTGGCCTACCAGAATTTGAAACATTTATTTGTAAATTTTAAGCGGTTTTACTATTGAAGTTCAACATACATCATACCATTAGTTAAGAGTAGGCCAGTCATTATTTCATCTTATATTTTTATTTGTTTGTTGGGTTTTTAACTCGCACTAATCGAGTGGCAACTTTTCTGTTCTACTGTCAGAGAAACATGTCAGGTGTGCCTTTGTGCATTATTTCAGGTCCAAACAGGCACCCAAGAAGAACCACAGATGTTCCAAAAGCTAGCTGGATAGTTTTCTCACATGAAACAAAAATTCAAAGTCTGTAATGGGATTAGAACCCACAACAGTGAGGGGCAAGTAATTTTCAGAGTTAACAAGAGTGATCAATGATCATATGTCCTCCTATGATAGCCATTTGCATGTTGTTTCTTCTGTGTAGCAGGAGACACAACAAGAGGGCCATGATGGCCCTGAGTCACTCACCAGAAACAACTGCTTTTCAGTGTTGGGAATTATCCATTGTCAATATTTTCTTATAGTAAATTTGAGCATAGAATATCTTTAAACAATAATTTGAAGCAATGCCATGACCTGGGGCATTTAAGCTTTAGCTATTACAAGGCCAATCAAATGAATATGGGCACACTTGATAAAAGACTAAAAATGCTACAGACAAAGTTTGGTGATTATCCATCAATTATTTCAGTAGGAGATTATGTTCAAAGGTTTTTCTATTTTTAGCTTTAGTGACCTTTTAAAGGGGCCAATTAAAATGATATAAGCAAACTTGATAAAAGACTACTAAAGTATGTTACAAAATTTGGTGATCATCCATCAATAAGTTCTGTACAAGGAGACATTTAAAATTATTTCTATTTCTACCTTTAGCGGCCCCTTAAAGGGGCCAATTAAATTAATAAGAGCAAACTTGATCTATTTTTAGATTTAGTGGCCCCTACAAGGGGCCAATCAAATTAATATCATATATTAATTGATATCATATTAATTAATGCTACAGATAAAGTTTGGTGATCATCCATCAATTATGATAAGTTCTGTAGAAGCAGATGTTTAAAGGTATTTCTATTTTTAGCTTTAGCAGACCCTAAAAGGGGCCATTCAAATTAATATGAGCACACTTGATAAAAGACTACCAACAAGAGCTGTCAGTAGGACAGCAACGCTCGAATATTCTTAGTGCTTGATAGTAAAAGAGCCTTGATAATGTAAAATTTTCTAAGTTAACAAAAGGGCCAAATTTTCCTTTAAATCCATGTTACTGTTAAAGGCCTTGAAGAGAGTCCTACTATGCTCTCAAAGAAGAGTATAAAATTTTAACTTGTTTCAAAGCCAGATGTCAAGAGTATATGAAAATATCTGAGGTGGTATGCAAACTTTAACTTAAATTCTAAGTCAAAAAAAGGGTATAATTCTATCAAAATGCTTGATACAGTTACCTCCTCCTGTCTACAGGTTGGGATCATGATGGTGAACAAGTGTGCAAAGTTTCAAAGCCATATGTCGATGGACATTGAAAATATTTGAGGTATTACAAAAACTTTAACGCAAATTCTTAGTCAAAAATGGGACATAATTCTGTCAAAATGCTTGATACAGTTATCTCCTCCTGTCTACAGGTTGGGATCATGATGGTGAAAAAGTGTACAAAGTTTCAAAGCCATATGTCAATGGACTTTGAAAAAATTTGAGGTATTACAAAAACTTTAACGTAAATTCTAAGTCGAAAAAGGGGCATAATTCTGTCAAAATGCTTGATACAGTTATCTCCTCCTGTCTACAGGTTGGATCATGATGGTGAACAAGTGTGCAAAGTTTTAAAGACATATGTCAATGGACTTTGAAAATATTTGAAGTATTACAAAAACTTTTAACATAAGTGGTTACGCCGACGCTCGGGTGACTACAATAGCTCTTCTTATTCTTATCGAATAGTCGAGCTAAAAAATGCTACGGACAAAGTTTGGTGATCATCCATCCATTAGTTCTGTAGAAGAAGTTGTTTAAAGGTTTTTCTATTTTTAGCTCCAGAGACCCCTTAAAGGGGCCAATCAAATTAATATGAGCAAACTTGATAAAAGATTACCTAAGAATGCTACAGACAAAATTTGGTGATCATCTATAAATTAGTTCTGTAGAAGGAGACGCTTAAAGGTATTTCTGTATTAGCTTAAGCGGCCCCTAAAAGGTGCCAATCAAATTAATATGAGCAAACTTGATAAAAGACTACCCAAGAATTCTACAGACAAAGCTTGGTGATCATCCATCAATTAGTTCTGTAAAAGGAGAGGTTTAAATGAATTTCTATTTTTAGCTTTTAACGGCCCTTATAAGGGGCCTATCAAATTAATATGAGCACACTTGATAAAAGACTACCTAAGAATGCTACAGATAAAGTTTGGTGATCATCCATCAATTATGATAAGTTCTGTAGAAATAGAAGTTTAAAGGTATTTCTATTTTTAGCTTTAGCAGCCCCTAAAAGGGGCCAAATAAATATGAGCACACTTGATAAAAGACTACCAAAAAATGCTACAGACAAAGTTTGGTGATCATCCATCAATTAGTTCTGTAGAAGAAGTTGTCTAAATGTTTTTTCTATTTTTAGCTCCAGAAACCCCTAAAAGGGGCCAATCAAATTAATATGAGCAAACTTGATCAAAGACTACCTAAGAATGCTACAGACAAAGTTTGGTGATCATCCATCAATTAGTTCTGTAGAAATAGACGTTTAAAGGTATTTCTATTTTTAGCTTTAGCGGCCCCTAAAAGGGGCCAATCAAATTAATATGAGCAAACTTGATAAAAGACAACCCTAGAATGCTACAGACAAAGCTTGGTTATCATCCATCCATTAGTTCCGTAGAAGATGTCTATAGGTTTTTCTATTTTTAGCCCTAGAGACCCCTAAAACGGGCCAATCAAATTAATATGAGCAAACTTGACAAGACTACCTAAGAATGCTACAGACAAAGTTTAGTGATCATCCATCAATTAGTTCTGTAGAAGATGTTTAAAGTTTTTTCTATTTTTTGGTCTGTTGACCCCTAAAAGGGGCCAATGGAAATGACATGAGCAAATTTAAGTGTGACTGTCACAAGGATGCTAAAGACCAAATTTGGAGTAAATCTGCCCAGCAGTTTCAGAGAAGACAATTGTTGATGCATGACGATGGAGTGACAGATGCCGGAGCATCCCCCTTTAATACTAATAGCTCACCCTGAACCTTTGGTTCTGGTGAGCTAAAAATCATTACAGGCCAAAACACTCCTTTTATTCAAGATCCCTACCTCTGCCAAAAATCATTTGACCCGAAAACCTGTTAAAAATGTGCAAGTACATAAGGAAGTGATCAATCCAGTAAAGTTTCATTCAAATTGCATTAGTAGTATAAGAGCAGTAGTTTGGACAAAACATTACAAAAATAAAGATAATTGAAGGACCATAACTCTGAAAAAAGCATTGAAATGGAAAATGCCGACGATATGCACAACCAAACTTTGTACAGATTATTCCAGTAAAGTTCGGATGAAATTGCACCAGAAGTTTCGGAGGAGTAGTCCGGACAAGTTTTGTGACTTACTGACAAACAGAAAGAGAAGTGAACCCCGTATGTGACCGCTACTATCTGTAGCAGGTGACACAAAAATTACTGATAGGATGAAGAAAGAATTCTTGAATGAAAACAGAAATTTGGTTTCAGCTTTTATTTGAAAGTTGTTCATGTTCATATATAGTTAGCAAAGTGAGAAGCAGTGAATAGGTATGTAATAAATAAAATGAGATATGATTTTACTATAACTGACACAATATAATATTAAAATAAATAGCATCATTTCCATTAAACTGTATGTAAAATTTTCCAGTAAATTTTATTTTCTTTCAAAATATTTTAAAGTTTTTTTTTCCAAATAAGAAACAAATATGGAAGCTCATAAATGATACAACCAATTTGAAAGGTGTTGTCCTGCACATTTTCACGCTCACTTTTCAAGAATCAAGGTTAAAAATTAGCTTGCATTTCTACAAATATTAAATATATTCACATATGAAAATTTACTTGTTTTCTTGTTCGTAGATCTAATCTTTGTTGATAGAAGAAGTTTACCGAAGTTGTTTCTCTAAGTTAAAACAATAGCACATTCAAAGTTTTATTTTGTGATCACAGATAAATGTTTCATTAAATTTAATGCATAAATAAAAATTAAACAAAAATATAAATATTGCACATAAACAACCTTATATCCCTCTCTCTTCCAATCTAAATATTCTTGCACTCAACATTGCACTGCCAGCAAAACTTCTTTTTTAAGTGTCTAACTTTGGCTAAGGTATGAAAATGATTTCATTTCATTTTTTAAGGGAGACAAATCCATTCACTAAAGCCAAAAATAAAACTGTGTTGACTGAAAGGATATAGAAATTATTTGTAAGCAAAATAACTTAGCTCGACTGTTTTTAAACATCCTTTTATGTTCATGAGTTTTTTTAATGATTTTGTTACTAAATGTCACATTATTAGCTGGCATCAGCATTCTGTTCCCATTTACATTTTTCTCTTTACTCTCCTCCCATTTGGTATCCTTTCTCAGCTTAATATGATTTGGGAACCAGCAAATAAATAACAAGTTCTTGTCATGGTTCCTGGTTCCCTTTTGAAATAATGGTACCAGGATGTGGGCTATTGCTTATTTTGGGCTTGTTCTTGGTTCCCTCATAGTAGGTCTGGTACCAGCACATTGCTCCTTTGCGTAGTTTCAGATTCCCTTTATTTAAGTCTGGTACCAGTATGTTGCTCTCCTTCCACTTGTTCCTGGGTCCCTTATTTTAAGTCTGGTATCAGAATGTTTCTAGTGCTGTTACTGCCCTTGACTAGTTCCTGGTATTCCAGTACCACACAATTTCATTCTATCAGTAACTGTGAAGAAACAAATTAACATGTTAATTATAATATAAAAAACTTTATTAATAAAACAAGACCTGAATTAGTTATAAGAAATAACTTTAATTCCTGTTTGTTTGTTTTAAACTTTGACATTTCTTATCCAAAATATTATAACTCTTTACAATGTGTTTAAAAAAACACCATGTGTCACTGTAGTTAACGCTTATTGTTTTGCTCACATTTTTATGTTACTGTATTTTATATATACCCTGTTGTATCCAAAGCACAATTAATTCTTAAATACTAGTAACCATCATTAGTGATATATTATAATGTTAGTAAAAACTAAGCAAGTAATAGTATCTGCTTACTAAAAATAAAAAGTAACTTTTTATTAATATCAAGCTACAAAAGAAGTTATTAATTCTGCAACAACAAAACATCAACATGTATAACCTGAAAATATTGTAGAACATAAAATTAACACTATGTTATTAAGTGATGTTACTCTACTGTTAATTGTCCAAGTCAAACTTAACCAAACTATAACTGTTAACTGATGATCAACATTTTATTGTTTTTATTAACCATATAAATTATTTATCATTTCTTATTGCTTATCCTAAAATCAACAAAAAACAAGCAAAAACTACATTGTAGCATCATATGAAAATTGCAAACAGTGCAGTGAAGCAGTGATTTTACAAGCAAACAGTGCTCACAAGCAAATATTCAAAAATTACTGGCCAGTTAGACAAATAGCCTGATACAAATGGCTATTTAGACAAATACCCCAATAACAATGGCTAGACAGGCAAATAGTCCAAAACAAATGGCCAGACAGGCAAATAGTCCAATATAACTGGCCAGACAGGTTAATAGCCCAATACAACTGGCCACACAGGCAAACAGTCCAATACAAATGGCCAGACAGGCAAATAGCCCAAATGGCCATTTACACAAATGGTCCAATACAACTGGCCAGACAGGCAATTAGCCCAATAAAAATGGCCAGTTATACAAATGGTCCAATACAACTGGCCAGTTCTACAAATGGCCCAATGCAACTGGCCAGACAGGCAAATGGTCCAATTTAACAGGTCAGACAGGCAAATTGTCCAATACAACTGGCTAGACAGGCAAATAGTCCAATACAACTGGCCACACAGGCAAACAGTCCAATACAAATGGCCAGACAGGCAAATAGTCTAATACAACTGGCCAGACAGGCAATTGGTTCAATTTGACTAGCTTTACAAGCAAAGAGAACATGACAAAGTTTTAACAAGCAGCTATTATACCTCTATTCCTTCAACTGCATCACATTCTCTTCATCTGAAGATGAAAGTTTAACATAAAACAACCATAGTTTATGGCATTTATCTAATAACTCTCCATCCCATGCTTTATTCATCAAATCATGCCTAATTATTTTCATTTCATTTCAAATTGCTCATATAGAAATGATTCAAAGATAATTTCATTTGATAAAGAAACTGTAAAATTGTATGAAGATTACTTTTCATGATTAAAAGGCAAACAGAGGCACTTCTGAATATTTTGTTTCCTAATGTTTTATTTATGAGAAGAGTTGCATGTTTAAAACACTAAAATGCAATGAGATAACATTATTGCTATTTAAGTGGCAAAAATTCTTGTAATTAAAGAACACCATCAAATTACCTTATCAAAACTTTATTTGATTTTCTTCATTCTTGATTCATTCCAATTTAATTTTAGTTTTGTTTGATTGACAATTACATAGCCATTCTCTTAACAGACGAGTACCAACAATTTTTCATTGATATGCAATTCTGATCATACAAGTAATGTTGTAGAACTGATGAAACTACATGTTTGTTAAAATAGATATAGGAAATGACATAGATAAAAGATAGAGTAAGGATAAAAACCTTGAACTTTGGTAAAGGCATACACAATGACATTAGAAATAAAGATAAACCCTTGACCTTCGGTAAACACATACCAAATGACATTAGAAATAAAGATAAAAAACATTGACTTCATTAAATAAAAATACAAAATTACATTGGAAGTATATATAAAGATAAAAACCTTGACCTTTGGTAAAGGCATACAAAATGACATTAGAAATAAAGATAAAAACCTTTATCTTCAATAAAGCAACACCCTATGACTATGGAATTAAAGATAACCTTGACCTTCAATAAAGCCATACAGTTTTACTAGAGCAGTAAAGATAGAAACCTAGACCTTCAATAAAGGCATACAAAATGACTTTGAAAGTAATGCTAAAGCCATTAACCTTCAAAATAGCCATAAATTATGGCCGAGGAAGTAAATATAAGAACCTTGCTTTCATTTTTAAGCCATACACTATCACTATAAAAGTAAAGGTAAGATCCTTGACCTCTGACAAATCCATCCACTTTGATGTTGAAAGTAAAAAAAAACCTAGACCTTTGACCAAAATCCACCCACTATGATGTTGGAAGTAAAGATAAAAACTTGGACATTAAGAATAGGGTATGCACCATGATTTTGGCAGTAAAAAAAAACCTTGACATTTAATCAAGGCATATGCCATTACATTTGACAATATGACCTACAGTAAAGATGAACAACTTTACCCTTTGACCTTAGATACTCAAAAACTGTTTGACCTTGGTAAATTGTTAGCTTTATGTTTAGGTTACACAATGAGAAGTTGGGTGCAATGACCCAGTGGGTAAATTTGTAAAAATAAGTCTCTTGACTTAATTAAACAAATACAGTGTTTTTAAATTTTTATCAGATTTTCAGAACTTCATTTTTTCTATAAAACATCACAAATGGAAAATAAATCAGATAAACATAGAAGTATATCAACATGTGGCCAATTTACTGGTTTTGTATGAAGCAACATTATAATTAAAGAACAAGTGGGCAGCTATTGTTGGGTTAATACATCCAAAGGTAAAAAAATCATAACAACACTAATCTGCAGACAGTATGCTCCACTTTTATAAGTGCTGGATAGTAAAATAAAGCAACATTGAAAAGGGGGAATAACTTTACAAATGCTTATCAGGCCTTTGATAGTCAACATTTATTTTAAGTTTGTAGTAAAAACCTTCAACAGTTTTTGAGAAAAAGGCAAATATTCTCAGTCAAACAAGGAAAGATATCAAGCAAAAAAAAGGCTTTCAGGATAATCTCCCCCTACAAATGCATGTCAAATCTCAACAAGTGAACAAGTACTTCAAGTTTAAAGTTAATATCTTTGAGACTTTTTGAATAATGTACCATAAAAAAAAGTTTACCAAGAAATTCAAAGTCAAAAGGATGCATAACTCAGAGAAAAAAAGTTACCTGCCCTTTAGAAAGGCATTCAAATTTAATAACTGAAAAAATATTCCAAGTTTGGGTTTAACAATATTTGAGAAAATTGAAAAAAAAAATAAAATTACAAAATGGCATAACTTTGTATATTGATTATCTGCCCTTTTGATATTGCATCATTTCATGACAATAAAGATGTATACCTAGCTAAAATGTAGTGAATATTTTTTTTAGTTTCTGAGAAAATGACCTAAACGGAAAGGTTAATCGATGTTGACACCGACGAGAGGGTCATAATAGCTTCACTTTTTTCCTTTGAAAAAAACATGATTATATAAATCAAATTGACTAAGTCTTAATTACTACAGCTACTGTGCCGCATCATTCCTTTCATGTACAATTTGCTACTCTGGAAAATGATTGATTTAGGCAAACACTGAGGAGAGAATCTAGTATTTGCAAGGGCATATATTGTGCTACCCTTTCTTTCGTGTATCAATTCTTGCAAGAAAGCAACATTTGCTGATTTTGTAATCTATTAAAAATGCAATATTCTTTGAAGTTTAACAAAGGTGTATAAAAAAAGAGATTTTTTACAGCCCAGACATTGCTATTGGATTAAATGGATTACTAGTTAATTAACAGATTAACTGTTTGCAGAGTTCAGTCTTATATTTCTGTCTGGAAAGTCTGCTTCCCTGCCAAATGTTAAAGTAACACATTCCAGAGCATTTAATAGTATATGCTATTAATTCTTGTTTATAAATAGAGCTAGAACTGTAATGTATTTTGACTGTATTTAACCTCCATCATTAGAACACATTATATTACGGGTGTTATAAGTTTAACTATTGCCCTCTATTTTCAATGTGTCTAACCTTTTTTATCTAGTATACAGTTATATTATAAGCAGTAATGTTCGCGGCATGGAAATGTTCGCAATACTCTCAATTCATAAAAGTTGCAAAAATAGAAAGTAATAGTTTTTCGCAAGCTAATAGCCTCAATTTTCTTATATTCAAAGATTGAAGTAAAGATAATGTCACACAGCAAACTTAACCAATCAAAGTGCTTTGCAATATCTAAGAAATGAGACAGAGATAAAAGGAAACAACAGAGTTATGTAGGAGTAAAAAACAACAAGAATTGATAACCACTATAAAGTTGACACACTTGTGCACTCAACATTTTCTTTACACATGATGACATTACATTAGAATTTGATATACAATAAAATTTCTGGGCAGGAATAATTCCTGAATCTTTTTCAATTGTGTATAGAGGAATTATTTTTGTGAGGCTACATTTTCCCAAAAAATAGAAGACCTTCAATCAAGGTGCAATGTTGCTTCTGGAAAATTTTGCTTTTAATTAATATTTCTGGTTTTATTTTCATAAAACAATTTCTTAAAATTAATATTTTCCATATAATATCTATTGTAAAACTAAATCATACATGCTAAAGAATTTTTTCTTCTTACATAAGGAGTATAAAAAACACAAAAAAGAAGCCTTAATTTGAATTTGAACCTTTTTATCTTAATGAATTGTAGAAAGTAGTAAATTAAACAAATGGTACTGAATGACATTGTAAACATAATCACTAACCATATAAACATACATAATTATCTTATTTTTTTTTAAATGATTTGATGAAAATCACTCTTTTAAATTTCATTATAATATTCATCTTGAAATAGAGGAGAAAATAAAATCAAATAATGACAATGATTATCTTCAGCCCATATAATAAATATGAATGCACAAGTGTTGACAAACCATTGGTTACCATGGATATAAAGACGTACCTCTCGGTCTGAGCCACAACATTCGAGAGATGGACAGCGGTTCTCCCTGGGTTAAACAATCATGAAAGGTAAATGAAAATAGCAAGAGAGGCCACATACATGCCAAGTTTTCTACATAGTCAACATATTTTTTATATTATAGTTTATGGGGAAAAAACTTATCTGTTCTTTGCATTAAGTTTCCAGACAGTCAAAAATGCCATTAATATCAGAGTATAAAGAAGTTCATAAATACTACAAAGATATCACTCATTTATCAAACAGTGTACAAAAATTTCCAACGGAAAATGCTAAAGTTGATAATAATAAAGTTGGCATAGAAGAAACTGAAAGATAGGTAACTTTCTTTGGTGCAAAATTTACATGAAAAACAACTGGAGAAAATACTGGCTTAAAAGTGTAGTAGAATATTGGCATGTATGAAATGGGTAAACAATAAGGCAGAGGTAAAACCTGACACAAGTTGTACAAAATATTTTGAAATTGTCAGATTTTACCTTCTAGTTAAAGGCAAAAAAGGAAAATAATTACATTAATTAATTGACCAATCATGACATGAAAGTGTTTAAAAAAGCACAGTATATCAAGCTATGATAAAAATTGACAGCTAAATCATAATCTATAAATATTGCAGCTTTTCTATAGCTTTCCAGTCCAGTACATTTAAAATATTGCCAATAATAATAGCAGCCAATATATCTAAAATAAGCTGATAATAGCTTGATCATAATAACAATCCTTTAGTAACCATAGAAAATCTAAATCTATACACAAATAACAAAGGGTTAAGCAACCTTAGCAACAAGAAACAGAGAAAATGAACAAAATAACACAGAAAGATAATTCAACATTCATGGAACAAAACAAATCAACACAGAAGATTCTACAGGTTTAACAAAAGAATGGAAAATTTGACAACAACTTTTGGGGTCCCGAAATTTTCAGAAACAGAATAGTGGCAAGTGACAAGTGCTTGTAGATGTTGTTAAAAAAGGAGAACTATTTTTTTCACAATAGTTATTCTTAAAGTATTGGGCAGTTGTAAACTTACACCAAATTTTGCCAGTCTTAGTTTGATAACAAAGTTTAAAACTTAAGGATATATAAGTAGATATATAGTGCAGAAGCAATCTCCATTTTTCCAACTGACATATTGCATTATAAAGAACTGGCTACAGAGCAATCACATCATGTAGAAATTGATTAACTAGTGGCAGTGTTGATAGTTTTCACTATGGATCACGGCAGTAAGCCACTATGAATGACCACACTCAGCTCAGCCACCGCATCATTCCTGGTCAAGCAGTTTACCAGTACTAGTTGCATTCACTTTGACACGGAACTGATAACTTCTGTACATGCCAGAGCAGAGCAGAGGTACAGTGCGTCAATGACCATAGAAAGGATTTCATGATCAATCACAATTAAAGTGACCTGCCTGATCCACAGTCAAAAACTACCTGTTGAGCTTATCGCACAGCTTAATTGATTAACAGAGTTAGCAGCAGTAATATAGGCCTATCCCACCAATAATTAACCAGGCCAACATACATGCATGCCCTTATTATATAAATAGTCAACTCATATGATCTTTCTATCATAAAGACTATTTTTTTTTAGAATGAAATATTTTACATTGATAAATAAATAAGTACCAGCTCAAGCAGCAGCGACAGCTATGGTAGCATAAACATCAAATCATTCAGACACATTTATAGCAGACACTTGTTGGTATTGTAAATAAACTGTCATTTCAAGATACATCGCAAGATATATCGCAATTTCGGAAGTAAAATTAAGTACAAAATAGACAAAACCGTAAAGATTTGTTGCTATGAAAAAAATTTAAGTTATGACCAGTACAAAAAGTAGTTCCTACAGAATGATTTGATAGTTTTTTAAGCGTGAATGAATACAGTTAGAACTTACTACTTTCATTCTCGACATGCAATAAAACTGTATAACAAAAACAAAAATAAACAAAATAATTAAAAAATAAAAAAATAACATGTGATGACATGGCATATGAAAATGCTTTTTCAATTATTTCAAAATTCTTAGATACATGAATCTTAAAATTTTGTGTATTGATGACAATAATTGAAAATATATTAATCATTTTATAACATTTCATATGCCGTTGTAACTGCAGTTACAAAAATATCACATCTGACAAAAAAATTTACAAAGTAACAAAATATATATCTTACAAATACTGCAATAATACATTTATTTAAAACATCAGATTCATAAAATCACATGTTGTCATAAAGCAAATTATATTTAAACTTCTGTATTATTCAATTTTTTGTTAAATGATGTAAAAAGAAACAAAACCACAAAAATCTTTTCATGAAATAAATGAAAAAAAAACTCTTCAGAAACTTAAAATCCAAGCTAGCTGAAAGTGGTAAAGCATATTTTTTTCTTTCAATTTTCAAAACTTTGTTAACAAATAATTTTGTTAAAAAGTAGATAAAATGTTTCAAGACTGATTTCTTCTTTTTCCCTCCAAAGTGAATTTTTAAAATAAGTTCAATACCACTTCCAGATGATTTTCTCATTCAAAAGTCACAAAATTCTTACAACATTTTTATGATTTTATACTTACTTCGAAACTTTGAAAAATTTCTTGGATTTTTGTATGAAAGACGAATCCATGAATTTTTTATGCCTGGACTTTTTCTTTTCACCAGAATGTCCCGACGCTCCTTCAACTTCTGACTGGGAACTAGCAGACGTCGTAGAGGAAGTGGAGTGCCTTATGGGTAATGTTTGAGATCTTTGTTCTCCCCCTTGAGCTCCTGCCCCTTCTGAACCACTAACTTCTGAAATCCCGAGGTCAAATGTCATTGACTGCCTACACAATACTTCTATGGTCCCCAATTTGGATTTGTCCTTGCGTTTTGACTTTGGTGAACGACGTGAGACAGCTTGAATGTCATATGCCGATGGAGATGATTGAGATTGAGCAACTGATACAGAGGTTTCTGGTTCCTCTTGAACAATTTCGATGGGTGATGGTTCATGAACACGTCTCCTACGACCAGGTGATGACGGATCTATTAATCGTCGCATTCTTGCTGGAGACAGGGTTGGTTCTATGATTCGTCTTGAGCGACCTGGTGACATGGAAACAGCTACATGAATTCTGTGTCTTTGTGATGGACTGTCTTGTGGTGAATGTTTTGAAGAAGAGCCAGTTGCTGATCTTTCACGGCCAAAATCTTCACCTTCAAGACTTAGCATTGGCATAGATGAGTAAGTTACAGTGGAACTTATAGTTGAAACTGGTTGTTGTCCATTCTTGGTACTGAGTGGTGAGAAAGCGACAGTAGAAGCTGAAGATGATGACTCAGATCTCACAGACTGAATATCCTGTGAACCTCTTTTTCTTAAAACTAAAGTTTCTGAGTAAGTTCTTTCATGAATTCCATTGGTACTACTATCATCAAATGCTTGTTTTAATTTTCGGACTTGCCCACCATTTGTGAGGTCCCTGAGAGGTGAACTGGATTTACTAGATGGATCCTCACTAGGTGAAGGCCACTTTTGCACAATGTGAGAAACAAATTCAGACTTTGGAGAATCAGTTCTTGTTATAGGTTCAGCAGAAACACCTTTTAAAGTCAATTTAGGAGATCCTTTAGAATCAGGGGTACCTTCCCTAGATAACTGTTTCACCATAGCCTTAACATAACCTGCTTTTACATTTTCTTTGTCCACATTTCTTTTATCTTCTAAACTTCTGCTCCTGCATTCAATTTTCATTGGATATCGTTTCAGGATTCTAGTTAGATAAATAGACTGACCACTTCGATATCTTTGACTGTCCTCAAGAAGCTCTTGTGCAGGTTTTATTCTTTTTAATGGAATGACTGGAATATGTATCCTTGACCTTTGACCTCTAGACATTTGTCCAGAAGGAGGTTTCCGTAGCAACAATGGAGTTCCATGTGTTTCTACAGAAATTCTTATCATAGAATTAGGCCGGCTTTGACCTGGATCAGAGGCAGTTTCAATTGGATCTGGAATAGTTCGTTTAATAACAGTAATTTCTGTTGGAAATTTTACAGGTTCCATCCTAGGGGCAGGGCTCGCATCAGGAGATTTATATTTCAATGTATCTTCACTTGTTTCACTTTCAAAGCTTTTGTTCACTAGAAGTTTTGGCCTTTCTTCAAACTTTACTTTAGCTGGAACTATTGCTTGTTCTCTTACAGTTTCAGGGGTTATAAAAACTTCATTATCAGAATCAAACACATCATCTGGGTCTATTGTTGGCATCTCTTGTACATATTGTGCCCTCTTCTGTCTATCTGTCTGCTTTTTCCACTCAGGAATAAGAAGTTCTGGGAATTTAACTTTCTCTACTTCACTAGCTTTCTCTTTTCCTTTTTGTTCATAAATTGTTTCAACACCTGGACTTCTTGATTTTCTTGGTACACCATTTAATTCATGAGGAGATATGTCTTTTGGTAGTACCATCTTAGCAGTAGGTAAAGTTGCTGTAGAAAATATAACTGCCTTGTCATGGTTTGCATTTGAGATGACATCACTAGAAGTAGTTGGAACATATTCTTCTTTTCTGTCAGTACACTTTTCATAAACAAGTCCTTCTGGAATGACAAGGGGTTGAAGTTTTGGAGGTTCTCTTCTCCTAGAAATTGGAGATTCTTTTTCTTTCCTCCTCATGGATGGTGATTCTTTTCTCCTTGGTTTGGGAGATTCCTTTTTCCGGGTTTTTGGAGATTCACGTTTTCGGACTCTAGGTGACTCTCTACGAGGTGGAGTTTTGGTAGGTACATCACTATCACTATCTGTTGTACTAGGAAGTATTGGTCGAGCACTTCTCAACCTTTGTACACGCTGGAATATACTCTGTTTACGGGAAGACTCTGGTACTGGTAACTGAAAATGTAAGGTTGTTGTTTCAGTCAATGTACAAAATTGAGTTAAATATGTAACATGTCAATTATGACAACCGACCGACCTTCCACTAGCTATAGTTTTATAAAGTATTATATTGTATGTAAACCACCCTTTTTATTAAATTCATTTATTAACGTTATGATCCCAGATGGTTATTATACGGCAAGTAGATGAAAGTTGTTAATAAACTACTCTTTGCCGTATATTCAAGACATGTTTTTATGCACAAAACAAAAACTTTCATTTCAAATTGCCCGTCTTAATACATTCTCCACTATAATTATACAAGAAAATGTGGCAAAGTAATTAATCTAAAATAATTTGTGTAAGGTCACTGAAATAATGCTTTAGGAAATGACCTCATATCTTATTATTTACATTAAAGCTCAATTTTGTTGAATGGAAAAAAAGGAATTACGATGTATGACACATTATTCACATTATAAACATAGGACCAACATCCAATTATCTAAAACACACAGCATGTGTACTCTGTGCTTTAAATAAGGAAATAAAATCATACACTAGATCTTGTTCTATCCTCCTTGCCACTGTATGTATTCCATCGTTTGATTGGTACTCGTTTCTGTGAGTATTCCTTATAGTACAACAGTTCTGCTTCTCGTCTAGTCACGTCTGCCTGCAGCAGAAGATTATTAGCTTCCTGTAAGAGTAGGTGGCGCTTCATGTTCATTATCTCCTTGTTACGTTCTAGCTGACTAAGACGGAGGTTATTCATCTGCATTTGAAGTTGCATCGCTTGGCTGTACAACTTCTCAAAATTGTGTAACGCTGAGGATTTTTTAGACACCTCCTCTGAAAATGTAAGCAAACATGTTCTTTGTTCTCAGAATTGAGTTTAAATAAGATACGGTGTAGTCAACTTAAAATACCCTTTCATCTATGTAATTCAAAAATACCCTTTCATCTATATAATGCAAAATACCCTTTCATCTGTATAATTCATATTTGTTTAAATATAACAAACTTAATTGATATCATTAATAACAGGATAACAGAACCTTAAATCAACTAATTATCCGAACGAACAAAAATATTATTCATAATTTTATTATATGTAATGTACCAAGGGTGTTTTCTCCAGAAAGTGTAGCTTGTTGTAGAAGCAAACGCATTTTGTCTAGAAGGTCAACAAGTCTATTGTTGATACTTTCTTCACCTTCCACTGTCTGGAATTTACCAACCTGTCAGTGTAATATATGTGCACACACATTTATACCCCAAAAACAAATAGTATATACAAATATCATGCATGTATATCATTCTATCTAAAATATCAAAATTACCATAGACTTTTAACATTGTAGATGCCTGAATAATTTAGTGAAAACAAATTACACATGTAATTTCATTGGTTATTTTGGTATTCTTCTTTGCTCAGTTAACTCAATGTCAGTCACAGCCAGTATAGACTGTACATATCACTAGACATGAGACATATTGAAGTCAAAATGGTGAGAATTTACCTCTATGCTATTTATCCCTCTAGTCCCCCCAAAAAATTTGGAAATTTGTTTACTAATTTACAGGCATGCAACTTCATACTTTATCAACATTTCTTTTTTCAAGCAACATTTTAAATGTCTGAATGATACATTTCTGTTGTTTTTATCAATACTTGAAATTTCTATTGTTTTATCAATATTTGAAATACAGTAACTATGGAAAATGTGCCCTTTGTAGACCTATCCACATTTACCAAATTGGCATCAGGACAACTGCCAAGAAAATTTATTCTCATTTATCATAGAAAGTTTCATTGCCCTTATCAAGTGATAACATAAAATCTTGACTCTTTTGTAAAGAGCTGATGCTAACATTTATCACAATTTGTTTACTAATACAGGATTTATTTAAGTTTTATAGTGCTTGAATAGTCTCAAATCTGATCCTGTAATCAGCCACTTCTAAGCAATATGAGTAAAGTTTCTTGCTCAAAGGAATAATGGCTTGCTCATGACAGGGGTATAAATTGAATCCATCCTGCCAGAAATCCATTCATTGATAGTCCAATAAATTAACCACTCTTCCACACTAACACATTATGAAATATAAATGAATTTTGATGCTAACAAATTATTTTTAGCATTTAATGAACTGTAATGACAAATTTTTGACTGTTATCCACCAAGAACTTACGGCTGCTCCCTCCATGGACATTGCAAGTTGTTCCCCAAACTTTTTGAGCTCTAAGATTTTATCCTCAAGGTGCATCAGAGTTTGTGACATATGCTTTGTGTCAAATGATATCTCTCTTGGTGACTGCCCTTCTATCAACTGTTTCTTGTACAAATCTGTAAAATATTTCAATAGTAAACTTTTTTGATTAGCATATTATAGGTGATAATGAAATGTCTTGCTGCTCAACTGCTTGACTTCTGCATAAAAAATTTCAACAATATTTATAATGGATAAAAACTTGAAACTGTGCATCATAAGTAATTTCAAGATCTTAAACTGTTAAGTTTAGTTGGCCAAGTGTGCTGGCTAGCTTGACTCTATAAACTGGCAACATAGGTAAGTTTTTATCACCAATGGTGCTTAAAGGGTGTATGTAATTTTGATATCTGTTTACTACAACTACTTGAACATTAATTTTACACTAGTACTGGTTAACTCAATTAAAATTCATTTCTGTTATTTCCTTAAAAATAAAGCACTGGACAAAATTTTTACACATTTCATTTTCATATATAAATCATGGTGAGATAACTATGACATATATATTAAGATTATATATACAATATAAAATGTATAAACCTAACACATAACCCTTTGAACCATGAAAATTCATTTCGTTATCCAGGGTAAGGTTGAAACTTTTATAATGGCCAGATATAAATAATATAAACCTATAATAAATACTTGCCTAACTCAAGAACATGTTCATTTCTGAAGTTTATTAGACGATCATTTAGGACTCGGACCTCGTCTTGCAGGGAGTTATACTCAAACTCTGTCTGACGAAGCTCCTCCAACAGTCGTATGTTAGCTTTCTCTAAACTGAAACATTTAATCTTACAACATAACAACCTGACATAAAATCCTTCAAAAGTTCTATATCAATGACACTTCCATGCACGATATCCTTTATTTAAGTTTTTACAATTTCTAAATTATGTAACATATCATCTGTTTCTTTACACTTTAAAGATAGATAGTTAACATTTTGTGATTTATGCTTATCAAACTACATAAGTGACGACATATTGTGAAGATCTTAGTATGTAGTAAACAGTGCCTAGATCAAAATAATTATTTTGGGTGATCAATCATTCCAAGGAAATATCAAGTCATTTACCACTACTAACACCCTTTTATATCAATATTATCTATATTTATTTATTTATATCTATATTATATATAGAGCAATATCTAACCTTGCTATATTAGCTGCTGTCATACTATCTGTGGTCTCTGATGTATGATCATCTAATGAACTATCATCTGACAGTGGGGCACCTGGGGACGGCTCTGGGGAATCAAAACACGGTATAAGAGACAATGGTGGAGGTTTTTGACCTTTGACCTTTACAGCACTGTCTTCCTTCTCTGATTCCTCCATGAGGAACATTTCATCAGACTCACTGCTAGTTTTACGAATTGGAGGCTCATCTGTATCAGTTGTTGTCTGAAGATCATCAGTTGACCTTCGTAAAATACTGTGAGCATTACGATACTCCCGATGGAACTGTAAATTCCTTTTCTGAGCCTCTAAATACATTGAGGTGGAGGTTTCCTTCCCTTTAAGTACTTCCCATTCATGTAACTTTCGAGCAAAGTCTGTTGTTACTTTATACTCACTCAGAGGACTTAATACAGGATTTTTTAAGTTTGCTTCCATGTCTGGTTGCGAAAGCCTTCCTTTCATTTTTTCTATCTTAGCTTCTCTCTCTAGTGCTTTGAGTCTTTCTTTTTCTATTCTCATTCTTTCCTTCTCCAATTTCTGCTGTTCTCTTTCCACTCTCATTATTTCTCTCTCTCGCATCTTTCCCAGCTTTTCTCTCTCTTTCTCCTCTTTTGTCTTTTTACTTTTTGGTCTTTCTTTAAAAGAAGGTTTCTGCTGCAAATCTTTGTCCTCAGCGTGAGTAGTTTGACGGCGGTATTTCTGTCTCTCCCACTCCTCCATTTTTCGCGAGAAACTATCTGACAACTTCAGCTGGATTTCTGCAACATTAACAGATTGCCTTGGTTTGTCAGGAGAGGTCGTGGCTTCCTCTCCCTCGTCAGATGAACTCTCTATTTCTTGTTCTATCTGACTGTCTCGCTTTTGCTCTGGAGCTGATGAACCTTAAATTATATAATTATAATTTTTACTAATACAGACAATAAAACTAATACCAGTTTTCATATGTAATGGAATTATAAGCCTGAATTTAAGAAAGCATTTTGATTAAATCTTATATTTTAATAGACTAAAACTTAGCTTTCTTATACAAGTATTTCTTCTTTTATTTGAAAAATAAACTCAAAGGCTTGTATTACTGATGGTATTATGTATGGATCTCATGTTATATCAATCAAACATCTTATTTCATAACAATAAAAAGTATATACACAATTGATGGGGTTTAGTTGTGTATGTAAAAGACATAAATTACTTAAAATGTAATATTTCCAAATAAAAAATCAAAGCAAATAAAATTGGTAAATGTAACCACACGATTTTTCAAAGTTCAACATAAGCATTTTATAATTAAAGAATTGATAAAACACTAAGTGCTCTCTAAGACATGACTACAAACTCCTAATCAAATTTTAATTTCAAAAGAAAAGCTTATAGATTGTTTATCTCACAATCATTAGTGATAATATTACTTTTAAGTGCCTTGAGTTTTTCCCATTCTTCTAATTTCTTCAGGAATTCGGGAGACACTGCCCCAGCACTCTCATATGAAATACTTTCTGAAAACTCTGCCGATTCTAGAAACAAAGTGCACACTTCATAATAAAATAACAACATGCATAGCAGACCTTGAAACACAAAAACCTTGAAATCTCTTCCAAGAACCACTTAATATAGTTAAATATTATAAGAATCTTACACCGGCTGCCGGTACAGACCGGAATATCTAGCTCGAGGGTAACTGTTTACAGCGGTAACGAGGCTCTGCCGAGTTTCCGCTAAACAGTTACCCGAGAGCTAGATATTCCCGTCTGTACCAACAGCCGGTGTTTGATTCTTTTTCTTGCATTATTACATGTCAATTTCTTTCGGAACAGAAATTACGAAAACTGATATTCTCATTACGCACTTTTTTCTTATAGTAGCGTATGAACATACAACTTCATTCATAACGGAAAAATGACGTCATCCTAAGAACGTGATTCATTCATAAAAGTCGCGCGTCAATGACGTCATTTCAAGCACGCGACTTGTCTTACATGGGGGGTGTAAGACAGAGTTTTCCAGCACCGGTGTAAACGGTAGATAATCCTGTCTGAGATGCAAGAAAAAAATAAATTTTAATGAGGAAATAATTTTACAAGGATATAGCCCCTTTTTTTCAAAAAAGAAACTCCCTTTTTAGAAAATGATGGATTTAAAATGTTCCATTTAACTTAAATGTGAAACTTCTAGTCATACTGCAAAACCAATGTTATGCTGATATCATATCTATTTAAGACAGATCAAATTCAATAATATCAATTAGAGCTACGCTTAATATTTTATGTATTTATGGACCATGGCCATCAATCGTTCGTATTTAGCAATAGTTACATCTAAAATTATTTTCATAAAGACAAACGTATAATTAGTTCTTTCAAGGTCTGCATAATCAAACAAACCAAACATATCAGAAAAATAACTTTAACTAAGCCAAACTGGTCTGGTGAAATTGATGACAAAGATATGACTTAGTAATGATTAAAAAGAAGAAGAAAAAACATGCAAAAAGGAACTGGAAAATTCAGAATAAATTTGATCTAAATATCTTTAAAGTGAACCATTGTAAAATAATAATAATTCATTTTGATAATTTAGAACTAAAAGAGGTTATCCTTTTACTTTTCATGGAACATTATCAATATATAGTTTGATGAGCAGTTAATTAGAAAACCTGTTATGTTAACAATTATCAAACAAATCTCACATGAATGTATAACTGACATATAACATACCTGAGTATTTAAAATGTATTTTTTTGTTTGTTTTTATTTTTAATGGGGTGGGGGAGGGTGCTTCACTCACTCACATTTGTTTGTCAATCTATAATGTTTTAGACAGTGTACCCTGCTTGCAGCATTGTACACAGATGAAGATAATGGTGAAACATTTCCAGATATGTCAGAAAACATAGCATGTGATTCTTGTAAGATTCAAACAATCTGTTATGAAATATGCCAATAAAACACAAAAGCTTCAACTTCAAAATAAAACTTCAAAGAAATCATAAAAAAAATCAGTACTGATATGTTATATAGATTTCTAACATACCTTTGAAATGACCAGATGTTCGCTTCCCTTTCATCTCTTCCCATTCTTGGAGTTTTCTTGTAAACTCATCAGATACCCCACCTATAAAATATACAAAATGAAGTCTTCATTTTTTTCCTCACTGCAATATATTTACATACAATTTAATTTTTCAAACCATTCATTTTCTTTTAAAATTTTCAAATAACCAATACATCCCCCATAACAAGTATAATACAATTAAATGTTTCCAATCATTCAGTTTATCATTGTTGGATACCCACGGCCTGCAAACCATTTACCATTTATGTTACATGTTATTCAACTGTGCGTATCTGATACTGATCAAACTAAAATTCAAAGAAAAAAATACTTGTATGACCTTCACAAATATAAATTTATTAGATATCCCTAATTTTTTTTTAACACAAATAACTTTTATATATTGTTGACTATTACTCTTCCAGAAATGGAGATAAAATTTTAAACATATAACATTCAATGCAACATGATTTATTCATTAATTTTTGTCCCTCTGATAAAAACATTTAAAATGTGCATTCTGCTTAATTCTTACTTAATTTATGACAGAAAAAAATTAAAATATAATAGGTTAAATATTTTTTTTAATAAAAGAAATTACTATTCAATTATTTTCAATGTTTAATTTTTATTTTCAATTTTCATACCTTCATTTTCAATATCAACATTCAAATCCACTTGTTCTTGTTTGATTTCATCATTAACATGATCATTATCTTCTACATTAACTTTATTATCAATATTTAGACTCATATCCTTCACAAACTTCCTAAATTCCTCCATATCTTCTATATTTATGTCTTCCAGCAAAGACAAATCTTTAACAATTCAATAAATAGCCAGGCGCTTCTCCCCAATTAATGAAAATGAAGTCAATAAAGATTTCAACTTGTGTATCTGGATAAAATTTGTTCAGGATTCATGTTTTTATGCAACAGTGAGATTTTCCCGGATTTTTTTTCTGAAATATTTCTTGCTGTTGTTATTTTTGTTGTTTCTTTGAAGGCTTTGGAATTTAGAATGAAATATTGCCCTCAGCAATGTTTTAATTCATTAAAGGTAATTAAAAAGCTCAAGCAGTAGCCAAATATCTTTTGTAATTTTCATTTTGCTTGCACTTTCCTCCACATAAATGCCAAAATTTAAAGAAATAAGAACCAAGATTTTGGCAACTGGTTTAACATGTGCCAGCGTTTCCGGATTCCAGCTACAAATTTTCATGAATTTACAAGATATAGTGTAATGGTACTCGTTAATCTCGTGTTTTCTTCTTACATCCTTTGCATGCAGTTCAAAAAAGTACTTTTCCTTTTTATGAGTAACTTTATGAAAATATTATAAGCCAAGTCATCTTTACCTGAATATGCTAAATTCATACAAATGACTTGTCCTGCTTTGATTTTGGGCCATTTCATTATAAATGTGAGGGGTGTTCAATATGAAAATATGCTAATATTAAGCTGGAAGTGCTTGCACTGGCCTGTCACAATGCTACAATTATTCAGATGATTAAGATTAATTAAATATTAACTAATATCTACCTTCAAATTCAAAGAATTTATTTGAACTAGAAATGTGTCATCATGCCACGGATGCCCCCGCATGCAGCCAAAATTTCAGATGTTACAATATTTAGTTCCAAATTTGTTTGCACAAATTATTGTTTTCATTTTAAGTTCAAAGCCCTTTAAACTTTTCAGTGTTAACACAAACCATTTTCATACAATATTCAAGGCACTGAAATTATTCAGTCTTAACCTTTTGAAAATAGCATATTTCATATTTGTAGCCAAAATAATGGCTATACATACATTTCCACAAAAGTATGAGTGCTGAAACAAAAAGTTCAAAAAATTTCCAATATTCAAGATAAGGTTGTCCAAAATCATTAAACCATGACCAAATTCAAACTTAAACTGCTTATTCCTAAGACGTATCTATATTATTTTCAAAGTGAAAGGGACATAACTCTGCCAAAAAATCATCAAACCATGACCAAATTCCAACTTGACCTGCCCATTCCTTTGACATATCCATATGTCAAATTTGAGTTGAATATGTAACACTGTTGGGTAGATAATGAACAGAAACTGTAAATTTCATATTATTTTCAAAGTGAAAGGGGCATTACTCTGCCAAAAATCATTGAACCATGACCAAATTCGAAATTGGCCTGGGCATTCCAGAAACATATCCATATGTCAAATTTGAGTTGAATGTGTTGTACTGTTGGGGAGATAATGAACGGAAACTGAAAATTTCATATTATTTACAAAGAAAAAGGGGCATAACTCTGCCAAAAATCATTGAACCATGACCAAATTCGAACTTTACCTGTATTTTCTCATGACATATCCATATGTCAAATTTGAGTTGAATGTGTTGTACCATTTGGGAGATAATGAACGGAAACTGAAAATTTCACATTATTTTCAAAGTAAAAGGGGCTTAACTCTGCCAAAAATCATCGAACCATGACCAAATTCGAACTTGACCTGTATTTTCTCATGACATATCCATATGTCAAATTTGAGTTGAATGTGTTGTACCGTTGGGGAGATAATGACAGAAACTGAAAATTTCATATTATTTTCAAAGTAAAAGGGGCATAACTCTGCCAAAAATCATTGAACCATGACCAAATTCGAACTTGACCTGTATTGTCTCATGACATATCCATATGTCAAATTTGAGTTGAATGTGTTGTACCGTTTGGGAGATAATGAACGGAAACTGAAAATTTCATATTATTTTCAAAGTAAAAGGGGCATAACTCTGCCAAAAATCATCGAACCATGACCAAATTCGAACTTGACCTGTATTTTCTCATGACATATCCATATGTCAAATTTAAGTTGAATGTGTTGTACCGTTGGGGAGATAATGAACGGAAACTGATGATGACGGAATGACAGAATGACGGAATGACGGAAGGACGGAAGGACGGAATGACGGAAGGACGGAACAGGGTAACACTATATGCCCCGGCCATTACATGGCGGGGGCATAAAAATGTCCTATCCCTTTAGTTTGGTGTTACAATACACAAAATGAAACAGATTACTTTAAAGCAACAATTTTTCTTACATGGTTTTCAGTATAGATTACTGAAATATAACTTGATAATTGTATGGTGATATTATCATTATATCATTTCACTTTGGCCAAACTATATATTCTAACACTTTCGGAAATTTTTTTATATAAACAAAGAAGGCCACTGAAGTGTGCATTATTCTACAACAATGCACTCGCCGTTCTTATTATCTCCCTGTGTATTTTCACATCTAGGGCGCCATTTTGTTTGAAAAATCTGATAAATAAAAAACAATTTTTTGTCGAATTTTGTTGTGAAAACTATCTAGAATAAAAGAAAATGGTCTAACTAAGAAAATGAATCTGAACACCAATATCTTTAATTCAGTCGTTAACTAAAGTGTTGTTTATGTGACATCACAACGTAGCGTAGCGCCAAACAGCATGTGCAAAACAATCAAATCAAGTTCGCTATTTTAATGTTGTAAAGTTAAGTTTTACATTTATTTCACTTTTAATAATTTGTATTTCGCTTGAAAAATTATAGAGTGAAATAAAATAAACAAACAAAGTTTTATCAACATTTTCAAAATTTGTTATTCTCTAATGTTTATTCTCTAATGTTTCTACACACGGTAGATTTCATGACAGTTTTTTTTCAACCCACTGGAACAGCCTTTAAAGAACATTTCTATTGGAAACTCTGAGGCGAAAACAAATTTAACCACCAAACATATAATCCAACTTTATAATAATTTTTTTTTTCTTGACATGTTAGATTGAAAATAGATATTAATTCTTCTGCATTTTTGTATAAAAATGCACATTTTTCGTTCAAATGCTTTGTAATTAATCACTCAGGCCTATCGGCCTTCGTGATTATATTACTACGCATTTGAACTCAAACCGTGCATTATTCTACAACAATGCACTCAGAATTGATATCTATTTCCTAAATAATGCAGAAGAAAAGGGTATAAATATACATGTTATGGAAACCTATAGTGAAAATTTCAACAGAAATACACTCTTTTTAAAAATGTACATGATTTTTGATGCAAGCACATATTATAACTTGTAATAAAGAAAGTAATATTAAAAACATAAAGATCTACTATTTTTACATAATTAATCAATTATATATTTCAATATGAACAACCTCATATGAGTTCTATATCAGCATGAATTATGACATTATGAAGGAGGCATTGAACATCATGTGGGGAAAAAACATTGAAAGATTGAACTTAAAAAATATTTCACATAATTATGAAAGTATTACATCTGGTGTTCACTCTGTAGGATGCAATGTGACACCATTTTACAGAGATGACAACCCATGCCGGATGTGTCAGGAGACACATATCCTCAATGTTAACCACTTCACTCTTATTTATGGTAATAATAATTATCTATCAATCTATCTTATTCTGAATTCCTAACCATTTAACAGACCAAGGCATCAAGACTTATTCATTGTACAATTAAGGATATTGAAAGAGTGTAACTATGTTCAACTTCAACACTGAATTTATTGAACAAGTTGAATAAAATTATGTGATGAGTCTTGACAACCATAATATTATTTTATTCGTTTGTTTGTTTGTTTGTTTCATTTTACGCCTTTTCCCAACAATATTTCAGTCATATAGGTGGGTAGTTTCCTAACCATCGTTCCTGGAGAGTTACACCAGTACTAGACTACCTTCCTGCTAAACTACCAAAGCATCTCCCGGGGATCGAACCCACGCAAGAGAGGTAACTGGATTAGAAATCATCAACTCTAACCCCTTGTCCACAGAGGCGGTTTTATTTTATTCAACCAGGTAAATAAATTTAGTAATAAAGCTGAATGAATATAATATTCTACATGTATAAATAAGAATAATTATCAGTGAAAAAAAAATCCCCTTACAATGACAGGCTTATTATAACTTTATCACATAAACCGCGGGGCAGGAGTGTAATAAAGCCATTTAATAAAAACGATATTACACTAGTGTAATAACACTTTGACGTGACGTCATTTGCGCTATATAGAAACATAGCGTTAAAGCGCGCTAATGTTAGCGTAACACTACGGGTGCGTCATTGAAAAATTACTCATTTTAACAGTTTACTTTTCCTATTTTTGATATGTGATAAATAGAATATTATATTCGTATAGATTCAATACTAAATTTATTGAACTCGTTGAATAAAACAATATTATGCTCGCCAGAGGCTCGCATAATATGATTTTATTCAACTCGTTCAATAAATTTAGTATTAAACTACACTCATTCAATATCCTCTATGTAACGCTTTCATATAAAAAGTATCTGTGACAAAAGCTTTGTTTGCATATTAAAAATGATTCATATTTTGGAAAGAAGTTACAAAAACTAGAACTATTTTTTATGAGTTTACAACCTCATTCATAATGGCAAATGATGTCATCCTAGTCATAAAAGACACATTGGAATGATTAATTTATAGCATGTGACCCATCTTTAACGGGGAGGGGTGTTAGGTGTAGTCAACAGTAGATAATGCAAGAAATGTACTTACTTACCATTACCCTTACACTGTTAATTTGTATATTATATATTGGATTTTGTCTATCTTTACATTAGATTTTAGAACTGTTCATTTTAACATTTTAAGATTTCAATGTTAAAAAAGCTTAAATGAGCATTATTGTAAAGAATGGAATTGGTCGGGTTACACATATGTAAGGTTTTAACATAAACATTAAAATCTCAACTAGGTCAAAGGGAAATAACCCTTTAAAGCATAGTTCACTAAAGAGAAGAAACTTTTATTTCTAAAACAATAAGTCATTAAAAAACATCCTTATATAAACAAAATTAACTTAAACTGCATATTTCTGAACTGATATTATGTATAATTCTGTTTAAATTTGGATTCAAACTTAAAGTTAATATTTCATTTTGAAACTTTTCCAAATACAGTCAAATACATGTATTCAGCTCATTTTTTATACAGCTATATATGTTTTATTTATGATATCTCAACACATATCTTGAAAATACATGTGGTCACTATCTTATATATTCAAATCTCATAAAAAAAACCAGTAAGATTTAAAGCTCCTTATTAATGGACAGGTATAATGAATTAGTTATGGCAACAATCTTAACCATAATGGTCACCTTTATCTCACATTGTGATATTTTTTTTGTTTTAAAGATAAACCTGTGACCTTTTTGTAACAGAAGGTAGATAATTATAGTGAGTTTGCCCTGGGATAATACATATAAATTTATGTATGTATATATGAGCATGATTCAGTCATATAACAATGCCACTACAATCTGACATTTATCAGCAAATCAAATCAGACTCATGAATTCAATCAGGACTACAGGGGAGTATTTGATGAGCACTTTTTGTCTGCTTACTGAATATATTACAAGATAAACAATTTTCAGGAGGTATATATATATATATACCTACATCAGCTGAGAGAAGGCAGGTATCAACAACTATTTGGTTACCATAGCAACCTATAAGCCAAGTGTAACAACACTCAAACATTTAGGTTATATACAAGAGAATGTCGGTATTTCTTTTGAAAAATGTTCAAAATATAATAACAGTAAGACATAATAATTATGACTGATGTCTGCTGCAAGTTATATAATTTTGACCTAAACATCTTATATAGTCACTTTGTGGAATGCTGGTAACATTTTGAGTACAACAAGAATATTGATGATCATCGCATACTCGAGATTTCTTTTCGCATGAAAATCAAATGGAGCAAGAGACTATTATATGCGTTTGTATAATTATAAAATCTTGGAAGATCAATGCAATTAACATAGTTTTGTAATTTTAGAACCTTTTAGCAACATCAATATTTAGATACTTTAAGTGTGCCAATTGTTTCTTGATTTCTTTAAACAAGAACTCATTTAACAAGCGAGTAATTAGATTTCTCAATAAAATCTTATTTCTTACATTATAAGAAAATACTTTCATAACTATTTCTACCACTTTGTAGGAATGAAAAACTTAATAAATTTTACTGACCATATGCAAAACAGTAAAAACTAAAAAATATTTCATGGAAAACAAAGCTTATCTATTGAAAGGGACCAATGGAATTAACTATAAAAGAACTACTAATATTCAAAGGAAACTCACCTAGAAGAGCAGAAACATCTATAGTTCCTGTAGCCGTCATGGGAACATTTGATTGAGCCTCCTTATGTTTCTCTGGAGGGGAACTGCTTGCACTTTTATCCCTTTGTTTCTGTCGAAATACGACTGGTGATGCTTTAGGAGTCGACCTACTAACAGGTCCTTCAAGGTATTCATGAATGTATTTTAATTCATCATATACTTCTAAATCTGTCTCAGATACCTCTTCAAATCCAAATGAATCACTCTCCCTACCACTCTTTCTATGCTTCAGTTTACCACTATCTTTACGTGTATGAATGATGTTTTTCATTTTACCCCAAGGAGTTCTATGTTTCTTTTCAACTTTATCAGTTTTATGGAATGTTTCATCATGATGTTCGGGATCTTTACAACTTACTGTTCTTTTCAATTCAGATTCTGTGTATTCCTCATCATCAGGTGAGTCAATTAGAAGTGGACTAGATTGTCTCCTTGGGATTGGAAGTTGTAAAAATTTCTCCCCTTCTCCTTCATAACCACTTACAGAATGTGGGGAACTAATATCACCTGGTTCACTTTTTGGAGATTCACTTAAACTTGTTGTCTGCTTTAACAATTCTTTTTCTTTTTCCCGCTCTTTTTCTATCCACTCGGGTGGTCCTAACCAAATTCCTTCACAGTCATCAACTTGTGGTGTTGGAACATCGATATGGCGTTCAACAAACCTTGTTGGACTAGGAGGTTCATTTGATGATGTTGATTTCCTTACATCTTGATATTCCCCATCCATTCCACTTCCAACACCACTATCAACTGACCTACTTTCTGCTACAGCATGTGACGGAACTGTCAATTCTCGACCGGAGATAGAACCATAACGTAGATATGCACCTTTACCTAGTCCTTTTATTGATTTAATTCCTGAGCTTATATTTTCTGACAGCTGTTGTTTTGTCAGAACTTTTTTAACTTTGGCCCATTTAGAAAATTTTGATTTTCTTTTTGCTTCTGGTGACTTTAATATTTTTGAAGATCGTTTACCTTCAAATGGATCAGAAAGGAGCCTCTGAGCGCTTATTAATTCATCCTCACCTGATTGTTCCATGATATCTGAAGGCACTTCCAGAGACCCTGTCGAAAAGCTTCGCTTAAATACTTTACTTTTGTTACGAGGTAGGGCCTGATCCGAACTTGAATCTCCTAAGTCAATTTCAATGCATTTAGCATCTTCAGCACTTGGCAGCCGTGGCCTCATTATTCTTACACCATTTCCATCTTTAATAGTTTTCACTGATTTTGATTTTTTAGCTCGTGGTAACGAATTTGACTCATATATCATTTCAGATTCTTCTTCATCTAAATTGCTTTTAGCTATCAAAAGAGTCTTTGTACTTTCAAGATAATCACAGCGATTTTTTAAACGTGAATTTTCATCCCTTAAGCTTCCAAGTTGTTCCATTAACCTAACTAGATTGTCTAAATGATCCAGACCTACACTTTGTCTAACAGGACTTGGACTAGGAGTTCTAGGCTTTTTCCTAGACGGACGTTTTTGATGTTTATGTGATTTCTTTTGATCTTCAAAAAATTCCATTAAATCTTCAGTTTTTTCAATGATGGAGTGAGACTGTTCCACAGTCAGTCTGCTGCCAAGTTTTGGTGAAGATGGTGTCTTAATTGGTGGTAATGTTGTCTTGTCCGATTTTTCACCATTTTGAGTTGTTTGAGGTATCACAGGATGTTCAGCCGTCAAGATTTTTGCTGAGTCACCCTGCAAACCACCTGTAATCCCCACAATTCTATCAGCATCATGTGACCGTTTGTCAACCTGCATCTTTCCATTTTCTACTGTTGTCATGACAATACTTGGAACTGCTTGAATAGGAAGTCTTACGGTCATTTTGATTTCCTTCTTTTCCAGTTCCATGGCAGGAAGTACCTCACGCTGCGCCTGCTCGACCCTGACTCGCATTTCTTCATGGTCGTTCCTAGGCTTGCCAGCTGCCATTTATTGACAGCTAAACCTTACACCAGTCTGAAAAGAGAAAAATTCAAAATTAAAATACATGTTTTTCAAGAATCTTCATATTCTGAACTAAAACGAAACCAAATCTTATTTTGTTTTATTCCAATTGTTTGAATAAATTCCTCTATACATAACTCAACATAGCAATGTACCATTTACAATACTTCTCTATCTGAATACAAGATCTAAGTATTAAATACATTTCGAAATATGAAATAACATGAATTTGTTAGACACATTTAAATCCATGTAAAAACACTTCAACCAATCAAAGGCGTAGAAAAATCTACTCATTTACCTCCATAAAATCTGAAGTATAATATACAGTAAAACAATTGAAAATGGATTACAGATTGCTAAATCAAATCTTGGCAATTCATCCCAAACACCATTAACCTCAAATTGTTGTTGTTGTTCTTGTTAGAACCATGCATACTGATAGAAAGTCCAACTGTCAAATGAATATTTTTATTTTGATCACTACACAACTCATTTTAAGGAGAAACAAATTGGTTAAGGAATAGAAAGTGATAAGCCTTTTATACCAGTATAGATAAATGAAGCCTTCACATCCATTCAGTCTAATCAGGTACTATATTTTTTGTGTAGCTCAATTTAAAAAAAAAATTAATATTTAAATCCTTTAAAACTTTGTATGGGCTGTTCAAAATTCAATGTATGGCAATTCCTGTACTTCTTTGACATTTCATTATGCACCTTAACAGCTTTCTCGTGCCAACAATACATATATTAACTGGGACATTAAACTGTATTTAACTAAGAGTGTAAGGTTCAGACCAAGAATGTTGCTGTTGGTAGTCAGCCTTTGAGGTAGACATGGCGAAAAAAAGAGCAGACCAAGACAAAAATGTAAACAATGGAAGTTATGCAGACATAATTAAGTAGATATTATCAGTGTAGGTAATCCAAGATAACATTATAGAAAATGATAGCCAGCATAAATTGGCAAAACAAATCAGTTTTCTCTATCTTTATTACCAGTGTTAATGATATCCTTAGATTTCATAGTTCATCTAAATTTATACCTTTCTTATAACCTGTGATTTTTATAACATTCTTTATAACCTTACAGTTATATTGAATGTCTGTATCAGATATATTTCTAATCAAGTTAAAATTTAGTTCCAAAATAAGTCATTCATGAAATCATAGTCAGAACTTGGATGTAAATAGAAATAAGCATTAGATATTATATGATGTAAAAATATAAAACAAAATCATTTATTATGATTTGGGATATCAAAGCTCAAATTCACAGGGTTACTTTTAAAATTATAAATAAGAGTAATATTTGAGTTGAAACCCTTAGTGTGTTTTCACTCATATATAAATGTCCAAGACCTCCTGTTACTTACATGACTAACAAAGAGAGATAAGAGTATTCTACTGGTTTACAATAAGTTATACAAGTAATCTTAAAAAATCAACTTCATACTTTATAAAGATTTACGATAAATTAATATTACCAACTACTAGAGTCAGTAGTTTACATTTTTCCCTTTGAATGTTTTAATAAATGTATATGTTTACATGGTCATCTTACAGTTTTCAAAATACAGTAAACTCCGGTTATAACGAACTCATTGGGACATTCAAAATCTGTTCCTTATATCCGGAGTTCCTTTTAAGCATATAGCGAATTAGTTCCTTGTATCAGGAGTTTTTATAGCTAACAGATTTACATATAACAAACTGATTGTTTACCATCGTCCGCCAGTTTGAAGAGCATTTGATTAAGAAAAAAGTAAGTCATTTATTTCTTTTTTTAGACACAATACCCGAGGGCATACTTTTTGAAATTTGAAAATCCTTTGCTATTTCAGTTGTAATTTTACTCCCTTTCTCAATTCCTCATAAAATATCATATTTTGTTTCTAAATTCAGTGTTTTTCATTTTCTTTCCATGATTAAAAATAAACAAGATTTTCGATTTTTTCTTCCTTCTCCTATTATATTTTAAGGGTGACTTTTACTTTTGAAAGATATAGCTTTCTTTTCATTTCAATCAAGCGTACTTTGTAGTTTTCAATGGATTAGCAAGCATTCGTGATAATGTTGAAGACCGATTATAAATGATCATAATTTTTTTACTCGAGTAAAACTATTAAAGAAAAGAAATAATAGAATAAAAGGAATAACCGCTTTATTTTGGTGACAAGAACTCATGCTAAGAATATCCTAAATAGAAATTTTTTACGTACTACTATACAAATTCATTTTCACAGCTGTATTAATAAACGGTACATTCGGCCGAGTTTAAATCCGTGCCAATGAAAGAAAGTTGAAAATGAGGGTTCCATTTACGAATAGCCGATATTTTGGAGTTTGTTATAAGTGTAATTTTCTGTACTTTTAACTAAATTGGGACTAAGAAATGTGTTCCTTATAAGCGATAATTCCTTATAAACGTGTTCGCTTTAACAGTTTATTTTTATATTAAATAAAGAGGGGCAAAATTCGGGCCGAAATAAATTATTTCTCATAACCGGAAGTTCGCTATAACCGTGTTCGCTATAAGTGAGGTTTACTGTATAACACAAAAAAATGGATTTAAAAACAATGTGTAATTTGTTTTTATATTATAATATATATTTTTATAGCAAAATCATTTAAGGACCAGTTATGAATCCCTAGTTGTTATTCTACATATCTTTTTTTTCTTTTGCACTAACTAATTTTTGTTTTACCATTTCATTATAAAGTTGACAGTCATTTAAAACTTCTAGAAATTAAGACAATTCGAAGGTTTGCTATACTTTCAAAATTACATAAAAAAATACAAAATTTTAATTACTGTCCACTGATTTTGGTGTTATTGTTTTTCACTAGGTAAGTATTATTTTTAAAAGGTGTTAATTAAATAACATAAAATAACAGAAGTAAGTTATTACAAAGTTGTAAAAAAGTCCATACGAAATAATATCAAAAGTTTATATTAAACTATCACACAAAAATAACAAGTGAAAAAAAATATGTTTATTGATATTATTACACAACCATAGAAAAAAGAGAGAAGCGAATACAAACCATTACGAAAATATATAGAAATCCCTTAATTTTCCTCCTATTCTTAATTCCTATAAGAAATCTCCATAATTCACAAGGATAAAATCAGTGAGCTCTGTCCATAGCAGGTCTGAGACTGACCAGTCCAGGTGATAATTGGTTAACCATGGTAATATCAGTTAATATAATTATCTATACACACTAGGTTACTGATAAGCCCAGCCTACTATGCCAACAAATGTAAGCAGTAGTATATATACCTACATACCTGCTATACTATTGTTATTGTAAATTTTTAAATATCTTACATATAGAAAGTTCTGCCTGCAGATATACATATTATACAGACAACTTAACAGTTAACTGTTATAGAAACAAAGTTCATTTGGGTTTTTTTTCTTCTATATTTGAAATCATTTCCAAACATTTTCCTCAATTAACTTGTTTTCCAAACTGAAACTTGTCATTTGAAGCCTTCAAAGATTTTGATTCAAGATAATGGAATTGAAAAATCTGGTCAGACTGCATGCTTAACTATAGTTTAATAAGCTTGTTGCTACTGTTTTATATGGCACTGTAAAGAACTAATCTCAAGGCATATCAGGAGACAGAGCATGTTATGTGCAATTTCTGTCTTTCAATATAAATGGAAGAATGTAACTGGTTATCTTGACAGTCTCTTACCAAGGTCACATACAAGTTGTCAATGTCACATTCCCAATCAGTGATCGTGTGTTAACTTATTACATGAAAACAGATTTATCAAATCTGATTTGTGAAACTTGTATGAATCACTTTCAAGACCGCTTCCTACACTAGTGAGTAAATGTGGTTGTGGCTGTAGTTAGGCTCAAGCCCATGCATACACCTTAATCACTGGGTCACTGCTTTCCTTCATCCTGCCATTAATGATAAATGACACAAATTATGATTTGAAAAGATAAACATGAAAATATGACATTGATACATCACTGAACAATAGCCAACTCCTTAAACCAGTACTGATTATATGAGCAATTGACATTATAACCAGAGTGAGGATATGACCAGGTTGTGCAATTCAACATATAAACATTAAAAGTATTTAACATTATGAGCAGTTGACATTATAAGTAATGGACACTATGTGTTGTTGTCACTTTAGGACACTACGAGAGGTTGACATTATGAGAAGTTTGAAGAATACAAAGACACTGTATTTATATAGACAATATTTTAATTAGGTTCTTCTGGTTTTGAACTTCATCAGGATCTGAGAAGTTGAAAAATATGAGAAGTACATGTCAAATGCAGTCGTCACTTATGAACCGTTAATAATGTGAGCAGTTGACAGTATACAAGCAGTTGACATTACAAGCATTGCCTCAGATGAAAATACTTTAACATGATAAACGTTTTAAACAAGTACAGTTACAACAAAAATACATGGAAGCTTGAAGAATGTAATCAAGAAATGATCAGTGAAGAACATGGATGGATCTGACAGTTGTAGATACAGTTCATTTACAAAGTTGCACAGTCATGCAGTTTATCTAAATGATACAAGTAGGCAACAGGTACAGCAGGTTCAATGTTTTTAAAAGATGGTCCAGATAAAACTATACTAGAAGAAATTCAGACTGATCTACAATCAGTATTGCTCATAGACATTACGAAAACAAAATCAAGTGTTTCTACACTGGAGTTTCTAAATACAGAAAAAGTTGTGTGTTTTTTTTCTCTAATCAGCATTTCCCCATCCCACCCTGGCCTTCTCATACAATATACATTTTTAAGTTTTTAACTATTTGATCAACATTTGATTTCTATTCTAGCCTCTTACATTTCTAGCTGAAAAAGAAAGATTTACTTAGGAATTGGAAGAATAAACTTTATTTTACCATCATAAAATTGAGCATTTTAAAAAAAATATAAATGTGTTGCAAAATCTGATTTTTTAAGGTTTAGTTATGATTGACTCGATCAGCATTTTATCTGACTTT